GAGAGAGAGAGAGAGAGAGAAAAAGAGAGAGAGAGGAGTTTATTAATGTTTAAGTGTGTTGGCATGTTATGTCGGATAATTTTATGGTAAATTTGGGGAGACTGGTAGAAACAGAAAGAAAATGTATGGGTAGTGTAGGCTGAACCTCGAAAAGCATTTTCCTCTTGCAGGTTGTACTTGTAACATGATGCACATTATTCCTATAAAAAAAAAGGAAGGTCATTTTTAAGGGCAGTGTATAAGCATTGGTAAAGCATATTTCCTAGAGAATGGAGTTGGGATCGTGGTGGTAGCACCACTAGTGCCTCAGCCCCAGTTAAGGTTTAGGCTTTCATTCTCACCTAAGACATTCAAAAACCACTAACGATTTAAAAAAACATGGTAGGGGCTCGTCATCCCTACTGAATTACCCAAAAAAAAAAAGCATATTTCCTACAGTTTTGGCACACAAATTCCCCAAAAAGTAGCCTCCTCATAAATCAAGTACTGGCAAGATATTTTTTTGAATTTTGAAATTTTGTTTGAAAGCAAATATAACCATAAGAACTTAAGACTTAAAATTGAAGGCCTCAGAAATATCTCATTGAGAACCATCCCATGATTCTGCTGGCACTTTCTGTAAATTCTAAAGAAGAAACTGTGGGCTGGTTTGTTTGGTCCTTCCATTTGACATTCTCTTCTTGAAAATTGTTCTCTTCTTGAAAATTGAGGTATTAAGACTATGATAATGTTACAGGCTAAAGACTTGGGGCTCGCCGCAGCAGCAGCTGAGGACATGCGTCTCAATTGTCCTTGGACTCGTCAAGCTCTACTTACGTAAGCTTTTGTTGACCTTTATATGAAAATAATCACAAGAACCAAAACTCCTTAACAGTAAAATAGCTTAATTTGTGGTTTATTCTGGCTTGTACACACGCTTCTAGTTTCAATGCTAATTGATATGTTTCCAAGAAATGTCTTTAAAAGATTCATGCAAGATCGCGTATGGCGCACTCTCACAGGATCATGCTACTTTAGGATCACCAAAGGAGTGTATTAAGAAAAGGAAGATTTTGAGATTTAAATACTTAAATCTGAGTGTCCAATTTGTCGACAACCATTCTTTAATCTTAAGATTTTATTTTTATCAGGCACAAGAAAGTGAATATATTCTCTCTTTGTTCCTACTCTCTAAAATCATCCCCTTTATCGTACTGTTGAGACTCGCCATCCACTAAATTGAAAATTTTCGTGCAAAACTATACATTGCTATTGTGGTGGACACATGTACATATGATCCCCACCCTCCAAAACCATACTCCCAACCCCCCTCCTCCTTCACATGTGGAGCATCTGCCCTGCCTTCCCATAGGTTATGTGGGGACTAGGGAGTTTCTCTCTTTTCCTAAGGTAAGAAGGGGTCCAATTCCAATTCGCTTGGGTTTACTTGAGCACACAATTTGACTCGGCTGTATCCAACAAAACAATTTAAAAAAGAGAAGAAAAAAATAAAAAATTAGAGCACATAGAGATTAAATGATATGTTTCTGACATATCAAACAAATGATCTGGGGATTTTTTGGCCTTGGAATTGCCAACCTTCCGATCTGATTTGAGTTAGGCGATTCTCTTATGTCTTTGACAGGTATTCAGAGCTATGCAAAGCAGGACATGAAGCAAAAGACTTCTCGTGCGTATTTCGCCACTATTATTCTGGTCATGACGAGAATTTGTAGTCTTTTTATCACTATGTTGAGGGCTAGTTTGAATGACATTTAATTTTATCTAAAATAGACTATCTTATCTGAAATCAGTATCTCTAAATAATATTATTACATTAGATGTTTAGTACACATTATTATATATAATATTGTTTAATTATGTAACTTCTTTGGCAATTTTCAGCATTTAGCTATTTCTAGCAAGAACATGCTCTCAGCAAATTACCTTGAATAGAGTGCAAACAACTTTTATTTACCCAAAAAAAAATACAAACAATTTTTATTTAGAGAAAATTATAGATACCTTTAAAATTAACTTTATAGACATTCTATCCCCAATATTTTTATTATCATGCTCTAAATCTTAACATTGTTTTTTCTTGTATTTACCTACAGTCAATAAGTCAAAAAATTTAAAACTAAAATACCCTTACCTTCTGTCGTCTCCTTTTGTAGTCACGTGTGATTAAGCTCTCTTTATCCAAACTCTCTCTACTAAAAAAAACCTATTTTGCTATCTCTCTCTCCCAAAGGACCCATATCTCTCGCTATGTGCCAAAAAAAAACTCTCTACCCTCCCTCTCTCTTTCTCTCTCTGCTCGCTCCTCTTTTTCTCTCTCTACCCCCTATCTCTCTTTCTCTCCCTCTACCCTCCTCTCTCTCTCTCTAGACGAGGATTTTGGTAAACACATTGGCAGGAACCCCAAAATCCTCTTTCTCGTTTTGAAGAGCACCACCATTAAAACGTCATAATCCTATCTCTTTCTCTGAAGCTCACCACCATTAAAACCCCAAAATCCTCTCTCTTTGAAGAGCACCACCGTTGAAACCTCAAAATCCTTTCTCTTTCTCTGAAGCTCGCAAACATTTAAACCCCAAAATCCTTTCACCTTTTAATGGCATTTACAATACGTAAAAAAGAAAATCAGAGAATGAAAAGAAAAAAGATAAAACAAAATTGAGAATTTTGCTGCAATCTGAGGATCCTGGCTGTGGAATGCAATATTGCAGCTGGGACTTCCAAGCCATGGATGCTAAAAATGGGGGATTCAATTTTTCAGGGGGCAACGAATTCAAGCATGTGGGTTGGGTGGAATGCAGAGAGAGCGAGAGAGATTTTGTAGGTTCGTGTTGGGTTTTGTTAGGGTGAGTCCTGGAGCACCAATGGTTGAGCAAATTTCGGTGGAGAAAAAAAGAAAAAAGAAAAACAAAGGTAGGAATTGTTTTTAGATAAGTCCCGGATTTGGAGTGAGTTTGTAGAGAGTGAGGGTAGAGAGAGAAAGAGAGACGGGGGCGGGTAAAGTGAGAGAGAGAGTTGAACCAAAGGGAGAAAATAAGCGAGAGAGATTTGAGAGGGGGAGCAGGTAGAGTGAGAAAGAGAGTTTGGGTAGAGAGAAAATAGGAGAAAGAGAGATTTTGGGAGAGGGGGCGGTAGAGTGAGAAAGAGAGAGAAGTTGGGTAGAGAGAAAATAGGATATTAGGAGAGAGATATTAAGAGAGTGTTTGGGTAGAGTGAGAGGAGATGGCTATTAAAAGGGGTAGTTTAGTCTGACTTTTTTTATTGGGTAACAACAAGAAAAAATAGTGATTGGAGGTAATTGTGATACTAAAAATATTATGGGGCAAGATGTTTACAAAGTTAATTTTGGCCGCATCTATAATGGACCCGTTTCTAGGCGGCCAAGCCCCTATATGTGGAAATGCGAGCCTCTTAATAAATCTATTTTTAAGATGGAGGGTTAGACTTAATTTTTAAAAACATGTAATCTCTAACATGGAGATCATGAATATGAAAAAATAAATAAATTTTAAAAATTAAAAATAATAATTATAGTAAAAAAACATTTTGAGCGTTAGTTTTCATGGTGTTTAGATGGAACACCTACTTGCCTCCATTTTTAAGTTGGATGTTTTACTCTTTGTTAGTTTTCATTGTGTTTAGATGGAACGCCTACTTGGGGCCATTTTTAAGATGGATGCTTCACACTTTGTAGATCTCGTATGTAGAATTGCGATCCAGCCCACATGAAATAACTTTCCATCTACAATGTTCCCTTCTTTTATTTATGGGTGAAGTTTGTATAAGGTTGCCTTCTTATATTGTAGAAGTAAAAATATTGTAGAAGTAGAAGTAAGGCACACCGATAAAATTTACTTAGAGATGTCATTTCGGCATCGAAAACCTTATGATGACTTCAAAATCTCTTTTTATCCTCTGTTAGAAATTTTAAATTTAAAAAATGGAACTGATCAAATAAATTAAAAAACACTTGAAAATAAACGATCCAAATAACTTATTGCAAAATGCATTATTTTTTGAACTTAGAATTCTTTCTTCATATTCATTCCTCTCAATATCAAAATGATCAATTGGAGAAGGATCGTTTAGGTATGCCTTACTTCAACAGTATAAGGTTGTAACCTTATATAAACTTTTTTCTTTATTTATATATAAGATTCGTTTTCACGTTGATTGAAACAAAAACAGCGTTTCGACTTCAGGCGAGTTGGACCAAAGCAAAGCGCATCACTCCTGTTAAATGAATGAACAATTGTATTTTTTTCTAATTATAAAATTTTAAGCTTCAAAAATAATTATATTCAAACATATCTATAAATGTATGAAAATCTTGAAATGAACAATCTAGATAATGTATTGTAAAATGCATTATTTTTAATACTTGAAATCTCTTTTTTTCTCTATATCTATAGGTGTGGGAATGTCTCATAGAATCATTACTCATATCATTATCTCAAAATGATCAATTCAAAGTTTTTTATTTTTTAAGAAATTTTTTTTTTAAAAAAAATAATCAATTCAAAGTTTTTCTAATATCAAAATATACCTTTTTTCTAAGGATTTTAGAGGTATACCTTAATTCTACATTTTAAAACATAAACCTTATTTAAAATGTTTACACCCTACGTTAAATGGTTCATCTCTTGGTAAGTATGTTGATAAATTTCCTATTCTTAAAAATGCACTCTAGACTTTCCACGCACATGTAAAAAAGCTGTAGTGTTGCTCTTTTCCAGCCAAAACAAAAAGTAACATTGTCTGAAAGAACGGGATAGAGTTGCGCCAGTTTGCACATTAAAATCATGGGCACCAAATGTGTGTGAGAGAAATCACAAGGACAAAATTAAAAAGGGAAAACCTTCTATGCTTCTCCTACATCATAAAAGTTTTGTCCTCTCTTTTATCCATCCGTCCATTCTAAATAGAGGGCTGAGATTGCCCCAATCACAATGTCACGTCTCTACAATATTTTATTTTTAATTTTTTTTTCTATAAATTATTTTGATATCAAATTTTGGATGTCCATTCCTCTATTAAACTTGCATTAGCGAAAAATAATAAAAATTTTATTTTTAATAAAATAAAATGATCGAAATACCTTAAAAGTTTCAAAAAGTATTTTGGTCATTATATTTTATCAAAAAATTATTTTTAACATTTTTTATAGGTACGCCCCAATAAAAAGATGGCTCGTACTAAATTTCATATTCATACAATTTATATAAAAAAAACTAAAAATAAAATACTTTGAGACGTTGGATCTAAAATCAAATGGTGAGTAACTCTCTTGATCAAAATTGAACGGCTGATAGGAGGAAGATAGACCTTCTATACTGTAGGAAGAACATAAAATGCTTCTCCAATTAGAAGATACATACTTCCTCTCCATCGCAGTTGTCTAATTTAGATCAAGCGAGCCATTGTCCATATATGAATATGAAATTTGGTAGGTGCCATAATCTAAATAGGGTAGACCTAAAAAAGTATTTAAAACATATTGTCAATAAAATACAATGATCAAAATACCTTTAGAACTTTCATAGGCATTTTGATCATTTTATTTTTTTAAAAATACTTTTTTTTATATTTTTTTACAAGTGCAAATTTAAGAGGGGATGTTCCAAATTTGATGTCAAAATATTTTATAAACAAAGAACTTAAAAATAAAATAGTGCAGAGATGCGGCATTGTGATTAAGGCCATCTCAGCTGTCCATTTTATGTTGGATAGAGGGCAGTATATAAATTTCATACCGTAGGGGAAGTATAGCCCATTAGAAAAAATGTAAGTTCGGTGGTATCAGGCCTCAGAAGTGGAGGCTCAAAGGACTGGAACTTGGATAGATGCATGGAATGGAAGTTTTCTTCTGTGATAAATAACTCAACAAGGACTTTGAATTTCAGCTAAGAGTTACAAAGCAGCTGTTGTGTCACTCTTTCATATCGACGACAAATCCTCGTACACCGATTTGATCCCCGGTCTCTCTGAAACCAGCCTCACACACCTCAAAGCAATTTTAAGCATCTCTCTCATCCCTTTAGCAGTTGCAATGTTCCCCTCCTCCTCTAACATCACTGAATCAAAGCACTCCACCTCTTGCCCCTCAGCCAACTGAGCCCGCACCCATTCTGTCAAATCCACTCTTCTCTCACTAGAGACTGCTTCCCCTCTCTCACTAGATCCTGCTCTCTCACCAGAGACCACATCTCCTGCGCATTTCCCAGTAAGGAGCTCCAGCAATATCACCCCAAATGCATAAACATCTGACTTAAAAGAGGGTGCAGGTTTTTTCGTTGAGGTAAGCTCTGGAGCTCGGTAACCAAGCATTCCGGCATCAACCACCTGTTTAGTTTTTTACGAAGCAAATTCATAGAATACCACCATTTTTAGCAATTCATTGGTATTCAACTGAATTTCAAGGGAAAAAATTGGGAAAAAAACTGAGGAAAACTTGTTAAAAGAATAGACCAAGTTTTGAAATTGGGGGAGAGTAAAGCTTGTTTGGGTATATTCTCTCTCCTATCTTATTCCAAAATGTTCAGTCTCTCTCACTAAATCTCATGTAACCTTAAATTCCTAGCAGAGTCCAGCCTAGCAACCCTCATAAAAACAAAGAACTAAATATGAGAAGAAGAAACCTGTTCAGTAGTGCCAGCCTGTGTCATGAGGCGATGAAGGCAGTAATCAGCGACACGAGCGGTCAGGTCGGGGCCATCAAGGAGAATGTTGGTGGCTTTGAGGTTTCCATGGGGCACTTCACGATCGAAGTGAAGGTAATTGAGGCCGCGGGCAACGTCAACCGCAATCTTCAGTCGCTGGGCCCACGTCAATGGTGGGGTTTTCCGGCCAGGACCATCTGGAGCAAACAGGAATTCAATGAGAGAAAAAGTAAATTGCAAACAAATAGAGAGAGAGAGAGAGAGAGAGACTAAATTGCAACTTGCAAGCAAAGTAATTTCTGTGAAGGAACTGAAAAGGTAGGACAAGGAAATGATATGACAGATGCCTCTGTGTGTGTGTGCAAGTGTGTGTGTGTGAGAGAGAGAGAGTTGGAGCATTGGTACAATAATACAGACGAGTGGCAAGGAGAGCAGATTACAAAGCGCACAAAAGCCAGAAAAAAAGGACAAACAAAAGGGAAAAGGTGGTGGTTAGTGGAAAGCATGTGATTTGGTTCTTTATCGTGATACACGGGCAGGAGTTTTCCAGTTACTAAAAGCAACTCATATTAAATGAAAGCATCCATAAAACAAAGTTATTAGCAGAGAGACACATACTCTAAATCGAGTACCAGAGAAAGATGAAAAACACAGCATGGGCACACAAAATAAGCAAGAAGAGCTAAAAACTAATGTCTATAAATAAACAAATACAATTAAGAATATCACTTGCAATTCTTCACACAAAAATCTCATAATATATGTAGCCACGTACATTAAGCTGTGCATGTAATGGTGTCGAGAGCATGTGAGTGTGTCACAGAGAGAGAGAGAGAGAGAGAGTGTGTGTGTGCATAATCATACAAAAATTGTATTGAGGATAAATAGTGTGCATGCGAGCACATGTATGCATGCATGTGAGAGGGGTGTGTGTGTGTGTGTGTGTGTGTAAGAGAGAGAGAGAGGGGGACCCATTAGCATACAGAAAGCTTGCAAAAGAAAGAGAGTCATTACCATAGAGAAAGCTTGCAAGACTTCCTGGCGAGATATACTCGGATAAAATAAGCTTCTCATGCTGGCTTGGTCCCCAATAATACCCTCTCAATGGCACCACATTGGGGTGTCTGATATTACCAAACTTCTTTGCCTCCTTCGCAAACTCCTTCCTATGCTTGGCTACCCCTTCTCTCAGCCACTTCACAGTTAAATAACCACCACCCTCTAAACCGGCTCTATAAGAAGTTCCATGGGTACTCCTCCCAAGCACCTCAGCTGGAGCCCTTGAAAGTTCTTCAGGTGTCAAATTCAATGTTTCATCAACAAAATGGAGCTCTCCTGCTAATCTTTCTGGCGAATAAACCTTAAGTCTTGCTGGACTTTCAGTCATTGACTCGCCGGATTCAGGTGACCATGAGAGTTGACTGCTCTTCTCCGGCGAAAATCCAACCGGTTTCTTTTCAGGGCTCATAATGATCCCAGATGATGAAGAACCCTTCCTTGCTCCTATAAGCTCGTCAGCTGATACAACAAGTCCAGTACCTTGGCCGGAAGCTGGACGCCTCCTAAGGCCTTTACCCGAATTTTCTTGCCGAGATTTTGCAGATAAGATCCTCCTATAATGTATCAATATTGCCAGTATAATCAAAACTAAGACTGTGACTATACAAATAGCAATCACAGCTGCTTTTATTGCCGTTTTGATGGGTTTTCGATGAGGTTGTTGTGTGGTGGAAGGAGCTTGGGGGCCCGGTGGGGCTTTCGGAAGCTGAAGTTTGGAGTTTCCAGGGCGAAAAGAAGATTCTGGAAACCTCTGCAAGTTCTTGGGGATGGTTCCCGAAAGATCATTATAGGAAGCATTAAAAGATTGGAGAGAATCAGGTAAAGAATCAGGTAAGGTGCCTGTGAATTGGTTCTTCGATATGTCAAGAGAGGTGAGAGAGGTGAGTTTGATAATGGAAGGTGGCAAAGGCCCAAATAAATGGTTTCCAGCAATGTCAAGCATTTTCAGGCCAGTAAAGAGACCAATTCCAGTAGGGAGGGAGCCGTTGAGTTTGTTTTCCGAAATGTCAAGGACTTGAAGAAGGGAAGAGTTTGAAGGAGAAGTTGGGAATATGAGGTTTCCAGAGAAAATATTCCTCTGCAAATGAAGTTCTTGAAGAGTTGAAGATGATAGAAGTTGGGTTAAGAGAGGGCCATTGAACTGGTTAGAGCTGAGATCAAGGATTTGAAGCTTGGGGTATTGAGTGAGTACCAGAGGGAGAGGACCCATGAGAGAGTTCATGGAGAGGTTGAGATAATTCAGGCGTATAAACTGTGAGGTTACCAAAGGAAGGGAGCCTGTATATTGATTTCGGCTTAGGTCAAGGAACTCAAGGGAATTACCCCATTTTCCAGCTAGAGATGACAAATCTCCAGAAAACTGGTTTCCTGACAAGTCCAGCACAGCACAGCTTCCTATTAGTGAGGGAAGTTCCCCTGATAGGGAGTTGGAAGATAGGTTTAGAAACTTCAAGGTAGTTGATGAGATCAATCCAATATGACCTGGGATTTTAAAAAAACTGCAATTAGTCAAAAATATTTACCAACACATGCATAAGAGAATGGAGAAAAATCAGGAAAAGATATACACACAGATTCGGACAGAACAAAAAATGTAGGGAACAAAATTGAAATACAATAATAAAGGATCAGATATAACCCAATTGGTGCGTGAGATGTTATCACACTTTTAACCCAAAGGATAACCAACCATGCTTCAAAAGCATCATCAAATAAAGTTGGAAAGTTGAGTCAAAACACATAAGATGGGGGATTACATAATGAAATAAATTCTGAGGAATTTCATCATATCCTCAGGATGGTCTTTCACTGTGATAAACTCAAGAGTTGAGATTACATTCAATTATGAGGGCAGCTTATGAGATTCCGTTCAGTTATATAAGAGCAGCATATGAGATTCCACTCAGTTATGGAAACAGTAACAAACATAAAGGTAGAACAAGTAACCCATGTCGAAAGGACAATGTTTGGTGAGGGAAGATAATTATTCCAACAAAAGGATTTTGCTCTACTCATCCTTACATGTGAGGGGGTTGGCATCTGCTTTAGCGTACTTTGGATCTCACCAAGAAAGATAGGTTACTGTAAACATGAAAAGACCAACTCTATCCCTAGTCACTACTGTAAGTTTCTTAATGGTTTTTTCATATAAGCAACACACCTCTTCTCTCAAAATGACTTTCAAAATCGTTTGAACTTTGAACTTTATCATTTTGTATGAATTGAAAAAGATTTTGACAGGAAACTGAGATGCTTATTTCTTTTCATTTTTCTAAAAAAGATAGCAATGTGCGGATCATGGAACATTTCTAGAATATCACAGCACAAAAGTAAACATTTTTAAAGCTAGAGATTCAAAAGCAGCCCAAATATTCAAATCATTCTAGGCATAAACTTGTGATATCTGCACGACTATGAGAACCACTACAACTCTCAAAATAGATACAGCTCATGAAGATTATAAGAACAGTTCAGTACTTGTTCCACAACTGGAAGACAAGTTTTAACAAAAATGCCATGCAATCCACTATGCTGAAACCACGATAGAGCTTCAAGATGTACCTGAAAGATTGTTGGCACTGAGATCCAGTTCCTGTAAGACCAGAGAATCCCCTTTCAGAAGTCCATTTGGTATAAACCCAGAGAACCCATTGTTACTCAGGCGCAAAACCTCCAACGAGTAAATAAATTGGAAACCAGGGAGCTCCCCAGATAGCCCATTGTGACTAAGATCCAGCACCTTAAGACTCTCTAACATTATCAAACTGTCGCCATGAATTAGAGAACCCGTCAGTTGATTGTGACTGAGATTCAAGTGATGAAGTGTCTCGGATAAATCAAATAGCAATGGCATCTTCTGAGAAGCGGAAGCTAATAATAGATTATCACTTAAATCCAAGTAAACAATACCAGGAGTACCTAAAATCTCACTATCTATTTCCCCACTGAGTAGATTCTGATGCAAATCCAGTAATGCAAGGCGAGTAAGCAGACCAAACCCAGAGGGAATACTCTCAATAAATCCATTACAAGATAAATTAAGAAAAACCAAGTTCTTCAGGCGTGTTATACCTTTTGGTATGGCACCTGTCAGAGAATTTTGGCTTAAGTCAATAGACTGAACTGAAGTCAACCCACTTATCGATTCTGGGATAGAGCCTGAGAAGTTGTTACCAGCTAAAGATAGGTTATGCAAGCTTTGAAGCAAACCAATATCTGGAGGTATGTTCCCTGAGAAGATGTTGTTCGATATGTCTAAATACTGAAGGTTTTTGAATCCACTGATGCTTTGAGAGACCTGGCCTTTGATGGAGTTATTTGCCAAAGAGAGTTTAATAAGGAAAGTAAGATTGGCAAATATACCTAGATCAATGTTTGCAGTGATATTCAAGTTATTGAGGATGACACTTGAGATTCCTTTGTTGTTACAAACAATGCCATACCATGTAGAAGGACATCCATTCACAGATTCTTCTTTCCATGAATTTAATATGGTGCCAGATGGATCTGTCTTTATCTGCTTCTTGAACTTGAGAAGAGTTTGTACTTCTTGTGAAGGTGGTTGAGCCACAACAGTCAGAAAGAAAAGATACAAAGGGAGTAGAAGCTTCAGTTCTACTTTGAATGATGGTGCCATATACATCTTTTCAAGCTTCTCGAAGCCCGTACTTTTACCTCGGCTCGATAGAGCTTCAAATCCTTGAAACATTTACCTCACTCTAAGTTTTGACTGCTTTTTACTCGAAAAATGCAGAAAATGCAGGAAACAACTTGTTCTAAAGCTCAAAAATGATTTCCAAAACAGTTCAATATTTAACTTTACTGAGTGCCAGCAGGCAAGCTATGAGCATCAGAAAGAATGGCTTTCAAGGTAAGTAAAAACCATGAAACCAAGCAAAATTGGTGACCTGAAAGTGATTTGGAAGCCCAGACTCGTGATGCTGCAAGCTTTCCCTGTAAAATTAACCTTCAGTTGAGCTTCTAAAACTATTCTCTCAACCTTATGAAAAACTACAGGAAAACTGCAGATGAGAATGCCATCAAATGTTACACTTTTTTTTTCAAGTAATACCAATAAATGTTGATAGCAATGAATGTGAATGTTACATATCTAGAGAATACCAATGGTACAAAAAGTGAAAAAGAATGAAGATTCTATCCATCTAAAAGGTATTTCAGGTTTATGTCACGGTTTCGATTTTCTAGCCCTTTTTTTTTTTTTTTTGGGAGGGGGTTGGGGAACCCAAAATGATGCATAATGACTGAGACATCCCTAATGGCTATTTACCCTCAATTTTAGTAAAATTCAGACTGGTTTTAGTCAACATCAGCTGTTCTTTTCATGTTTGTCCTAAACTTCAATTGTGTAGCAAGAGATTCTACATAATTTTTCAAGTTTCATGTGCACCTCTTCAAAGATTTCAGACTGAAATCATTTCCAAAATTTGGGCTTTTCTCCCTAGCTTTGGCAACCTCTACCATGACTAAAAATACCAAAATTTTGGACCAGTTTCAAAAAACAACCATTAGCAAAAAGAGTTTTACATAATATGCAGGCCAACAGGAAGGTTGTTTACCTGAGTGAGGACTTAAGCACCCCCATAAGCTCCAATAGTTGCAGATACCCGATCTCAAGTAAAATTCCTCATTTTCATCAAATGATATGAATAGGTCTTAGAAGTTTTGTTTGCAATAGCAAGTTTCAGCTTTGAGAAAGATGATTCATAGGCAAAGGCATTCACTTCTCAAACTAAGATCCCCATTCATGGCTCCTTTCAGCACCTTAGCAGGGGAGACCTCATCAACGACTGAGATTGAAGTTTCAATAATCTAGAAACCTGCCATTTGCCATGACATGAAACTTAACAAATTTGGACGAAGGAATAACATAACATTCAAAGATTCAAAGACCTCTTTGCCATGAGAAGCTCCATGAATGAATCTTTACAGCTTCGAGAGAGATGGCATTCTTCCTAAATGCTTTCAGAGATTCAAGCTTTTGGGGAACTCTGCTCTGTATTCCCTAATGACATAAGACCAGTAAACTCCATTATTTTACACAGAATCATGGCTCTTCCAGCTCTTATTTTCCCTAAATGACGATGATCAGTCACCAAAACTTCTCATCACTTAAATAGACTGGTGCTCCTATTTATAGAGAACAAACAAACCATCGAAGAACTCGCTTTTACCTCGGTATAATACTTCACCAAAAGGTCCATTTTTGAGCAGGCATTAAAACCACTTCAACAAACACCACCGATCATTTCTGAAATTGAATCCTTGAGGAGAGGTCCTTTTCTTCATCAGAATCTCCATCCTCTTTTGGAGATGGAAATCTTTATGAGAGGTTTCATTTACTTTACAAGATAAGTTACCAGGGCTGAGCCATTACGGAGGAGTACCATTTAAAGTCCCAGAAAACTTCCATTAAAACTCATCATTTGCAGAGAGAAACTGTCAGTTCTTTGAACATTAATGGACGAATCTTGGATGGAAAGAGCTCTGGAAAATATTGAGCAGTGGTAAAGGAATTAGTGAAGTAAAAGGGAAAAGGTTAAAAGGAAGATGAGGTGGAGAGATTTCTGGTTTTGATGGCTGAAAGTTGTGAAGTGAGAGAGTAGATGCAGTTCAACAATGTGCATTTAAAATAGGGGGCCACATATAGAAAATGCCACGACCGATGAACTAAGCTAAAAAACCTCTCTCTCTCTCTCTACTAAAATCTCTCGGAAAACCAAGCTGAAAACCCCCCTCTCTCCCTCTGAAACTTCAAACACACACTCTCCCTCTAAAAGCACCTATCTCCCTCTGTAACTTCAAATACTCTCTCTCTCTCTAACGCATCACCTCTATCTCTTACCTGATTTACATTTGCTTCAAATGCGGCCGCCCCCCTCCTCTCTCTCTCTCTCTCTCTCTCATAAATGTGCAACCTTTGCCTCTCTCTCTAAAACAACAGTGCAACTTCTCTCTCTCTCTCTCTGAGAAAACAGTCACTCCCTCTCTGCAACTCCTTGGCGCCGAGAAAGGTCTTTATAATTGTTAAAATAGCAGAAACGTCCTCGTCGATTTTGTAGTAATAAATTAAGTGTAATGTCCTTCCCTAATCTTTTCTCGTAATTACTTAAATGACCTCCTGCATTCCCCATTTGTTCTTTCCCCCAAATGGCAAGCCTATTATTGGATAATTAGGAATTAACCACCCTCTATATTTTTTCATGTGTAAGTTACCACTTCTTAATAAATAATTAAGGATCCGGTTTCTGTGCGGCCAAGCCTGCATATGTAGAAATGTGGGTCTCTTAATAAATTTGTTTTTGAGATAGATTTTAATACTTAATTTTTAAAGACATACAATCTCTAACGTGGAGACCATGAATATGAGAAAATAAGTAAATTCTCAAAACTATAAATAATAATTCTAGTAAAATAACATTTGGGCCATTAGTTTCTATTATTTTTTCATGAAACACCTACTTGCATCCATCTTTAAAATAGATGCTTTACACTTTTTGGACTGTGTATGTAGTCATGCGGTCCAACCCGCATGAAATAATTTTCCTTTATTCTTTCCCACAAATGGCAAGTTTATTATTGGATAATTAAGAATTAACCACCCTTTATTTCTTTCCGCCATATGTAAATTACCATTTCTTAATTATTATTAATTTCAAATATACTAATTATTTATAAACAAAAGTGCATTTAAGATATAAAAATGTGGATTTTTTAAATACCTATTGGAGACGAACTATTTAACAACATCACACCTATGTCGTTTAATTTAATTTCAAAATACCCATAAAAAGGACTCCATGGCACTTCACAACGTAGCAATCAACTACCACCACAAACCCTCACAAAAGGTGGAGCGTTTCCACATCTACCATGAGGCCAATATGGTAGTAGATACACTTGCCAATAAAGGGATATCGCTATTTGCTATAACTGTTTTAGCATGTTAGACTCCCAATTTTCATTTTTTTGTCTTTAACTAATGATTTTTACTCAATTGCCCGATGATAGGACAGTAACACTATGAGTTGTATCTTTTTTTTTATTATTTAATGAAAAACGAGTAGAGGGCTTTTTCCCTATTAAATTACTCAAAATAAAAATACCCATAAAAAGATACATGATTATGAGTTGGAATAGTAACAAAAGTGTAAAATAATAAATACCATATCGCTTATAGGTATGTTGATCAATTTATTGATATAAAAATAGAAACGATTAAAGCAAATTAACTTTTATAGTGTCCATACAAATGAGCACAGAGACCTCGTATCAAATTAGTCATATATTTTACAAATTTTCCTTGAGCTATTGTAGTTCGAATGTTGAACTTATACCTCATTTGGGATTGTTATTTGGCCGAGAGACAAAATCTCTTTTATAGTTGGGACATAATAGTTGGCATTATAGTTTGGTGGATCACTATTCATGACGTAGCTCCAATAATCACGTTTCGCTTATCGACTAAAAGCTACTAGTGATAGGATTTTACCGACGGCCGTAAAAAAAAAAAAAAGTTACAATATTAGGAAAAACAAATAATTCTGTCACTTGATTTCTTGTAATGACAAATAACAATAATAAACAAGCACTGCCAATTATGTTTAAAATATGATAATGATGATATAACTTATGTGAACCCTTTCTAGCAAGAATTGCATGAAGTGCAATGTTATCTATTGTTATCAAACCCCAAACCGGCAATCAAATGACTAACTATTCTCCCAACAAAAAATAATCAAATCGATCAAACTAGTTCGATCATAATTTTCAAAGAAATACATAACACAAAAAATTTAACAAAGAATATGAATTATAATGAAAGTACTTTACCTTGTTTAACCAATCCAATTGGTTAAAAATAGCTTGTCCATCGGTTAAAATCAAACGCACATTACTGGTTCTTAACCATATATGTTATTCACTTTGGATAGAAAGGATCATAATATCAGTCAATGAACCAGTAAAGCTCAACACCAATCCAATCCAGTCCAAACTTGACAAAACTAGTTTATTGTTAAAAGGCTCATAATATAAATTTTAACACCATCTCATATGTCTAGACATGATGAGTGCCATTTTTTATGTACAAGGCACCAAATTTCAAAATTGTGGACATCGACTGCTAACCCACTAAAGTTTCAAATATCATAAGAGTTTTATTTACCAATAGACGGTAAGACAAGAGATAGTAGATTTAGGTGGATTGGTCAAATGTGGTGTAAACCCAGTACAATACTTGTCAATATGTGCGAGTTAATTAAAATAGAAGGCTAAAAAAAAACACGGAGTAAGCCCAAATGGATATGATTGTAAGTAATGAGAATAAATATAGGGACTTATAGCCTCGTTGAGGGTATGACCATTAATAGAGCAAAATAACATACCGTAATTTATGTAGATAACCTCAATCAGCAGAAAATAAAACTTTGATAACGATGATGAGTTAAAAAATAAAAACAAAATTAAACATGTAATATTGTTAATTTCATCTCGGAACTACTACTCGAACCCAAGCCCAAGCCCGATCCCTACATTTTGAAAACAATTTTCCCCAAAGATAATTTTACTTATCAATGAAGAGGGGGCAGGGCACTTGGGCATTAAGGGAAATAGAGAGGGTTATGAGCAATGGCATTTTGGGTACAGTGTTTTTATTTTTCAGTGTGCCGTGCCCGCCAAAATAAAAATATGTTTTGGCGGAATCCAAATCAATGTTCAATGCGCTTTTATCTTTGTATCTTCGGAAACGACGCTCTTAACTCAGATTCTGTGAACTCAATGCCACGTGGCACTTGTGGGTCCTGCTCCCTGCTACCGACACGGTAAATAAAAGGCGCACGGAGACCACCAAAGGAAAAGTTTTGACCTAATTTCCCACCCATTTTGCTTACTCATGCAAAATATTATTTCATGAGGGGCCGCATCGCATTTCTACAATGTAAAGCATCCAAGTAGGAGGTCCATCTAAAGCCAATTGAAATTGGTAGTTCAAATATTTTCTTAATAGAATTATTATTTATAATTTTTAAAATTTATTTATTATTTTATATTCATGATCTCCATATTAGAAATTACATATCCTTGAAAATTAAGCCAAAAAATCTATTTCATAAATAGATTTTTAGGAGATGACTCATTTCTACATGGACTCATAAAAATCATGTCCAATAATGTTTGACTGGTTTTTAGTAAGTTTGATAACCAATCTTGATATATATACATATGAAATGATGGCGTAGGCCGACTAGCCTGTAGTAACGGTTCAGATTTAATCTAGGCTGTTTTGACAGTCACGACTTCATTTCATATTTTAATTTTTTTTTTTCTTCTAAAAATCTAAATCACATGAAATTTTAGGTGTATATTATTCTCATCAATGCTCACTTGATAAAAACTTTTAAAAAATAATTCACAAAATATAAATCGACCAAAATACCTCTATAAATTTTTGGAGGTATTTTGATCAATTTATTTTACATGAAATATTTTTTTAATATTTTTATTAGATTCCTCTATGTTTAAATAAAACATGTCCAACATTTCAAGTGATTTGAATTTATATAAAAAATTCAAATTCAAATACAAAATAAGGTCGTGACTGTTAGATCTACCCAGATTGAATCTGAACCGTTGGGCTCATATGTAACCGTAGGCTGGTGGGCCTACGCCATCATTTCTCCTATAATTTGATCATAATTTTTGAAGTGTTATAATTTTTAACATGAAATTTTTTTGAAAACTATAAATAATAATTATATTAAAAAAACATTTGGACGGTTAGTTACGATTATTTTTAGATGGACTAAAAGATTGATGCTTTATACCTCTCGACTGCATAGTGTAGAAATACAATCTAGGGTATGCAACAATTGTACATTTCAAAATATAGTAGTTAGACTGATTCTAACTTGCCCAAAACCTCTCATCAGTTCGATGGTCAGTCCGGTCCTTGTAACATTGTTTTGCATACAATAGAAAGGATGATTTGGATTCTATGCTCTGCCATGAGTTTGTGTTTCAAAAAATGAAAAAGAAAAAAAAAACACTTCTCAAGCACCGCAAGGCTCGAAAAGGTCTCTTATTCTTGCCAATGATGTCATATTCGTTTTGGAATGCTCTTTGTTTCGAACAAACAAAAAAACAAGCTTAGCGTCCTAGGAAAATTGGAGGGTCTTTAGATATATTTTAAAACCAAAAAAATGCGGATTATGTATGACTCGGCACTTCTATAAAAATAAAAATAAATAAATACTATAAAAGCATATTTTTATAAAATTATGATTTATAGGTTATGTTATTGGTAACTTTATATAATTTTATGGCTAATTTTATGTATAGGATTGTATACTACGAGACTGTTTATTTTTTGTTATAAAGAGGTCACGATCACTTTTAGGTACTACATATAAAATCTAATAGATGAAAGTGTGTCTTAATACTCAATAAATTTTATTTTGGATGTTATACCCAAACAATAACATATTCTCGACAAATCTAATAGCTGATTATGATTGTGACTTTCTTTCATCAAATATAAATCCATTTGAATGGAGAATACATCGGTTTTGTTTAAACTTAAATCCTAAAACCGAAGACTCTGTCATTTTGGAGGAAGATAAGAGAATCCAATAACATTTTCTTACTTTAACTCTTCCATCTAAAAGATCAAATGGTAAGTTTGCAATTTTGTTGAGCACACACATTAAAAAATTGTGTGCCATGCCACTCCATGCACAATATCTGAAGCATACAGCTAACAAGTTAAAGTGCCTTTTTCTTTTTTTGCAAGTGATATGATTGCCTTCAGCCAAGGTCGCCCCCCCCATCTCACTGAGATGCCCTACCACCTTGTGTGAGAGCGACCCCAGTAGATACTGCATACCCCACCACTAAGTAGGAGATGAGAGTGAGACCTACAAGACAGCATTGTTCACACACCCCTTCGTGTCGACTCAGACCCAGACTCAGACCCAGACCTAGTCGGGTTATAGCTATTGTGGTGACTGCTTTTGGTCAAAAACTTTTAAAAAGTTTTAAAAATTCTTAAAAATAATAATTTTATTTGTAATAGATTTTTTAGATATTTTATATTGTTTTGAAAAAGAGCGGGAAATAATTTGGTAGTAAATATTTAATTTTTATATTTTTTCTTTTTTTTAATTGTTTCTAAAATACCTTTTAGTAACATTTGATATTTCAAAATCCATTTTTTCACTATTTTTTTAATCTAATGCGACAGTTGTATCATAGTATAATGCAACCACACTTCTAAAAAACTATGTTTGTAGTATTTGTATGACCTAAATTTTTTCACACGCATTTTTCATCTCAATAATCAATTGTAATCTTAGATATGATCAAAATGAGTCCCCTCCAACAACAAATCTAGGCAATTCATTAGATGAATTTCAAGATTTTAGCGTTTACAAACTCAAAAACATTTTTTTATTTTTTAACATTGTTCATCTAATGATAGTAAAGTCTTCTAAAAAAATTGGAAAATGATTTTTTTTTTTTCTAAGACCGAAATCTAAGCATCTTATCAAAATAGACAGCCTATGTTAATTGAGCTAAAAAAATACTTTCAAAGTTATGTTTTCAAAATTATCCGTTTTGTGATTGTTCATTAAAATGAAAAGAGTGTATATTATCAAATTTTGATAAAACAAATGGACCTAATTTAATTTTTAAAGATTGTTGCATTATATTACTATACAATCGTTACATGAAATCATTGCCCGTCAGATTCTATGGTTAAAGCTGGTTATCCGAACTAGCTCCCGTTTACTTGGACCCGGCCCACAGCTGGGTTCCGTTCCGCAACCACTACGCAGTAAATGAGTGAGAGAGAGAGGGACCCTGGTAGCACCAACGTACTACAGAGAGAAACTCGTGCAGATACTAATGAGAGAGAGAGAGAGCCACAATATAGGAGAGGAGAGAGAGAGAGAACCTAGTAGTACTAAAGAAAGAGACTCAGTAGATACCTAGAGAGAGAAAACCTAGTAGATAGTAGATGCCTCACCACAATATTGGAGATAAGAGAGAGAGAGACCCTAGTATATACTACATTTACCAGCCACATGAAGGAGATAGATAGAGATGTTCAGTTTACAATTTAGAAGGAAAAAGGTACCTTGTGAATGCCTTTAATGGAAAGTATAGCATGGCCTTGATGGACTGTGGTAAATAGTACTCCAATAATGCATCTACCACTATTTCATAGAAAACAGGTGGTGAATAATATGCAAAATGTCATGAAAACCACCTTACTTTCCCTAATGCAATTGGAAATAAAAATTTTGGATATGGTATTTACTCAAGGGGTGCGGTTTGTATAGAGCTAAGGCTCGAAACAATCAAAGTAAAGCGCACCTTCAAATAGTATCGAGAAATATGGTTTCAATACTGGAAATCTTGTGATAGCCTTAAAATATATTTTCTTCTCTAATTATAAAATTTAAAGCTTAAAAAACAGTGTACATCGAACAAATATATAAAAACTTGAAAATCTTGAAAACTGACGGTCAAAAAATGCATACCAAGATGTAGTATTTTCAAAACATGAAATCCATTTTTTTCTCATGTCCATGCATCTTGAGGTCGAGATGATCAATTTGAGGATACTCGAGCATCAAAACAACATCTTCTAGTGAAATTTTTTGGTGTACTTGTTTAGGCCTGGCACTTATATAAACTTTTTCCTTGCTTAAGAAAAATGTTCGGGGAGTTAGTTGAACCATGTCAATCTTGGTCTTGACTTTGGAGAGATTTAAGATTCCAAGCACATCAAAATATCAAAGTAAAACTGTTTTGATGACATATCCATGAAATTAGAATTGCATTGCTGATCCAACGATCTTTGACATTTAAAATGATCAAGGCAGAAGAAGAACATATAAAATAGGAGTGGACTCTCTGTAATAGGTACGTCGAAGGATGCACCTAAACACAAACCTCACATCGATGGGAAGAGAAATTCGCATGAGGTAGGAATGTTAATGATTTCACAGATGACTTCTTAACTGAGTGAGTGCTCTACTTTTTGTTAGTCATTTCTAATGAGTATGATAACCAACTAAAAATTATTCATATGAGAATGGTAAAAAACAAAGTGTCCAATTATTCATATGGGAACGGGACGATATATAACTATATATAGTTTTAATTATTCAAATGTGTTTTGTTTAATTATATTTTAAACATATAGTTTTTTTTTTGGAAATTTTTTTTAAGACAATTTTTGGCACCTGCCCCATTAGTGCTGGGTTACTCTGCTTGGGTTCCATTTCCAGTTGTGCTTTCCTACACTGGTGTCTACCTTATCTTGTAAAAGTAAGGTTGGCATAAAAAACATTGGTAGAAAGGTTGTTTTGAAGCTGAAGAACTTTCTAATTGATCATCTTGACCCCAAGTTGTATGAATGTTGAGAGAAATAAAATAAAATTTAAAAACTTAAAGACATTGCATCTTGCAATACATCATCATGCCCCTTTATTATTAAGATTTTCGAGTGGTCATAGATATGTTTAGTGTTAACAATTTATTGATCTTTTAGTTTCAAACTAGAGGCTCGAATCATATCGAGGGGAAGTAGATCTTATGGCAAAGCATGGAGGTGCGCTTTTAATTTTTAATATTGACACTTCGTGTAAACGGCAATTTTAAAATGGAAGATGGTTTGATAGGATTGCAGCCCTATCAAAACAAATAAAGCCTCACCTTATACCTCATAAAAAAATTGCAGTTTAAGCATTAGAAAACATTTAGACCAATCATCCTGGCTTGAACATTATGGCTATGAAAATAAAAGAATTTAAAGTTTTAAAAATAGTGCATAGTATATCAATTTTTTTAGATCGTCTATTGCGCCCTAAAAACAAGCGTTCATAAATTTGCAAGATCTGTACTATTTTTTTGTTTTAAATTTCATTATTGGTGTTGAAAATTGATATTAGAGCCATCATGAATATTTTCGTCTCTAAAAATGCTTTCCTGACAAGGATTCAAGATAAGAATTTACTTTATCTTCATCAAGCCTATGCCTTATGAAAACCTCATCCTTTTAAAAATTGATTTTTTAGTTTATGAACTCCTAAATCTGTCCTATTAGAAAGTGCAAGGTCTATATTCAATCCTACTATTGTAACCTTTTTCCCCCTCTTAGAATGCTTATTTTGGGCATTAAGTTTAAAGGTGGCAACAAGTTTTGGCAGGTCCAAGTCGACCCGACATGGATTGGACTCATTAGGTTCGATTGTATTCGGATCTAGAAATATATTATATATTTTATACTTGTATTTGCCAGGTCAGGGTGAGCCGGGTGGGGTTAGCCCAACCCAAACTCGAATCGAAACGAGGTCAGCTCCAAGTCATTTGGACCCGACCCGACCTTTATGGGTCCAAGTGTTGGACCCTAAGCCAGACCTAGTTTGGGTCGTCCTGCTCCCGATTTCCACCCCTAGCTAAGTTGAAGGTTACATCCCTATAGTTTAGTTCCTTCAAGTACTCTTTAACTATAGATTTTCAAGAGTGAACAGGTGCACATTTTGTTCCTAGAGGAGCATAGCATCTTTTCACAAAACGTGGAGGACAAGGATAAGGGTATAGGCTACCATATCCATGTTCCACCACAATAAAACTGCCACGTGTCATCTCTTCACTGACTTCCCACATTTCATTTCTGATCACAATTGCCCAATACCTATTAATTCTCTCATACTTTATTTAAACTCTGCAGATCAAATAAGAGAGTGAGAGAATAAGAAGTGAGAAGAATAGGAGCCCAACAATGGCGACTTCCCCTTTAGCCTCCCCTCTTTCTCTAAAACCATCTTCTCCTTTGATTGCAAAATCAAATGTGAGGGGGCTTCCCTCCCTCACTACCTCTTCCTTTTCCTTCAAAGTTCAGGCCAGTAGTGTCAAGAAGAAGATCAAGACTGACACGCCCTATGGTCCTCTCTCCCTCTCCCTCTCCCTCCTTCTTTCTCTATATATATATCACAATTCATGTAGCTGACTTCAATTAATTGAAAAAAAGTTTTGACGACGATATATATATGTTTGTGGCCCCGCTATTGCCTATTTTTTGTAGTTGGTTGTGATTGATGTTTGGAAATTTATCATGAACAGGACCTGGTGGTGGGATGAGCTTGAAAGATGGTCTCGATGCCTCCGGGAGGAAGCAAAAGGTTAGGTTTCTCCACTTGGATAAGGAAAATATTTAAATAAGATTGCAACTTTACACTACTTCTTATAGAAGTAAGGTGCACCTCAGAAAATCTTGAAAAAAAAAAAAAGTTTTTCAAAATTCGAAAACCTTCTAATTGATCATCTTATCTCAGCCTGAAAAAGTATAGATTTATAAAAGAATGAAAATAAAATAAAATAAAATAAATAAATTCAAATCCTGAAAATAGTGCATCTTGTAGGTATTTTCTAGATCATCTATGAGATTTTCTAATGTTTATAAAGATGTGCACCTTACTTGTATCGTATGAGGCAGGCATCTTATACAAACCTCACCCGTGGGATAAATGTTGTGGCATATTTTGATTTTTTGGCCATTGAAAGTCTGTAGGCCAGGCAACTGGTTGGGCCCCGCTGGGCCAACCTTGTCCAGGCCCAGCGTAGATCTCTTTAAGAAGGGTCCTGGTCGGCTCGAGTCTGAACCGAGCCAAAGGGGCTATGGTCCGGGCCCAGCCCATTGCCAACCCTGAAAGTTTGATGTTGAAAAAACACATGTATTTTACGTTTGAATAATCTTTTTGCAGGGAAAAGGTGTTTACCAATTTGTTGACAAATACGGTGCAAATGTTGATGGATACAGGTACAATCATCCTCAATATTTATGCTATATTTATTTATTTTAAAAACCGTTCATTATTGAATCTTTCCAATAACATTTTATTGATTTAAATGTCGTCAGTAAACTTAGAAGCACGCAATAAAAAGATTCACTGCTGATCTCTAAATAGCAATAAATACAAAATTCACAAAAAATGTGAATATAAATATATGCAATATATTATCAGTCTTTTTATGCGTGTTGATTTTTGTGATCTAATATTTTTTTTTATTTTTTATTTTTTAAATCTAGCCCAATTTATGACGAGAACGATTGGTCTCCTAGCGGTGATGTGTATGTTGGAGGTAAGAGATTTCTATGGTTTGCCGTGGTTTTTCATAGCTCAGTTTGGATAGACTTGTTCTTTATGATAATTCACTGTTTCAATATCGTTAACCTTCATCATGAAGTTATTTAAGATGAACTTGTAGGTAGTTTTATGTATAATTTTATATTTTTTAAAATTTGTTCTCACATGATTCAAGGTAAGTTGCTGAACATCACATGTTCTTGGCCAGAAATAGTTAAAACAGTTGGAAATTATTGAAAAGTTAAATATTTAAATAATATTATACATAATACAAGATACAGACCAAATAACTGACAAATTAACATTATTGTTAGTGTATCGATTTTCAAATAAGATAATATATTTCAAATAAAATTAATTGTCATCCAAACAAGCCCGTAATTTACATGCCATCAATTATTCATTGAATGGTGAGGAATTAACTGACAGTGGCAATATCATAGATTATGCCAGTTGTTTTTATCTTTGTTGTAAATAAGATATGGCTTTTTTATCGGTTCACTCCCAATCATTCAATAAAAATTGAATGGTTCTCGATCCTCTAACACTTCATTCTTATACTGAAACTCATCGAGAACTGACCTTTTCGGGAAAATTACATACCCACCACATTAGAGCTTCTACACATGTGATCCCCGCTAGTTTTGTTGGTACATCTGATACTGTGTTACAGTATTCTTTTGCTTTAACCCCTTGAGAGAATTTTTAGACCATTTCAGAAAAAGAAAAAATCTCCTCACAATCAAGCATGTAAAAATTGGTATAAACCAATTTGACCTTGGTTCGTAAAACATAAAACACATAAAAGGATTTAAACTAATTTCTACGTGTTTCACTATGCGGGGCATTTTACTAAAAAATAGGAAAGCAAGCAAATTCACTCGAGCGGATTGAAAAAAAAAAATTGTACTGGGTATAATAATAAAATTAGTGGAGAATGCAAAGGGTTTAAGAAATTTTTTTAATAAAATCTAGATAGCATTGAATTATGATCTATTTTATATGTTGTTTTCATTTAGAGGAGAATGCATGTATGACTCAAGTGAATTGGCGTGGACTAAGATTGATATAAAAATGGAATTGCAGGCTCAACAGGGTTGTTGATATGGGCAGTAACTCTTGCTGGTGTCCTTGCTGGAGGTGCCCTTCTTGTGTACAACACTAGTGCTTTGTCTCAGTGAAACCAATATTCTCATACTTCTCTCTAGAGCCCCACCTTCATTGTAAAACCATTCTAGAATACATTTTCGGTCCCTACATGTAATAGTTTATTGTAATACCTGTGTATTAGAGTTTGATTCAAATATTGGATATCGTAATTATTGATATGAGGATTGGAGCAGTGTTGTTAGATTCCACTTCGCTTCAGTCGAAGCCTTCGGATTTTAGTTTTGGACCGAAGCGAAGCTCTGTGCTGCCTCTTCCGTTGAAGCAAAGAAATATCTATATAAATATTTTTTAAAATTTTATTATATAAGTATCTAATTTATTTTTGTGAAATTTTTTTTTTTTTAAAATCCGATTTTTTATCCCGAATCGGTTGAAGTACCGAATTGCGTCATTTTCCTCACCAAACTAAATAAGACTCCGAATCAAAATTTACAACATTGTATTGGAGACTCTCTTTCCCTATCTATATTTTTATTTAGATTGATGGTACTCTCCTATCTATGTTCATGTACAATAAAAATGCAATCATTGCTTCTTTTATATTACGAAGGAAAGAGATAATTGTTGCCCGCATGATGGCCGGTGTTTACATTTTTTTTACTTTTTGTACAAAGAGGTCACAATTATTTTCATTTATTACATGTCAAATTGAATGGCTTTGGGTTATTCACAAAATCAGAGATTTTATTTTTATTTGTTTAGAACTTTACGTCTAATCAATGACAGTCTTATAATCATCCATATTGAAATCTAATGGACAATAATGATTGTGACCTTTTAGTACAAAAAGTAAATGATCTTTTTGTCGATAATGCCGTAATAAAAGTTTTTTATTTTTAATCCTTAATTCTAAGACCTGGTGCATCTGATTTTTAATCCTTAATTCTAGGAACAGGTGCATCTCTGCTAATAAACAAGGTTCCTTTCCTATAGTAGTTGTAAATAATGATAAGCCAAACAAGTATGCTACCCATTTAGGCTTGAGCATGAGAGAATATAAACGAGTTTTATCATTATTGGAAAGCTAAATTGCACATAAATAAGGCCTTTCAATGGAGTATAATCACTTCCAAATAACAATGAGCCAACATTTTTTTTTATTGAAATGACAATGAAAATTGCACATTTTTTATTGAAAAGACAATGAAAATTGCACTAATCACCTTGGACATTTCAATTCGAGTGAGAGATCATCAAGTTGCTTGCATAGATGGACATCAGCCAAAATTTTATCCAACCAAAAAATAGTGTTGTATGCAAGCCATAAACATATGTGAGTATAACAACAATGGCATTCAGGTAATTGGTCTCTATATTTTTCAAACCACTTCAAATTGTTAGAAAAGTAGTCAAATCAATCAATACATTACCGAGTGATTAGGGAAAGCATACGAGATCTTTTATTTTTGACACAAGGTGGTTATAATTAATATTGACCATTGGATCTAAAATTTGGTGGTGACATTTTTTTTATTCACCAAGTTTAAAGTTCAAAATAAATTTTCTCGAATTATGGGACCCATCTAAGCTATCTAATTTCATATCATATTGTTGTAAGTAACGGTCATTTCTTTGTACCAAAAGTAAGTAATCTTATTATATACGGTCCCGAACGATTAATTTAATAACGTCAATTGACTCAAGCACCTTTTGGAAAGAATACTCAAATTTCTCATATATTTTTTTTTGGAATACAATTGAGCAAATGTACCTTGGTATTTTGGTATTGCATCAATTTACCAAAATGGCCATCCTTTTTTCTTACGATTCCAAACCTAGTAAAAAATATTAGATTTGCATGAAAACACATGATCTATCATACTTCATAATCTAGGCCAAGTGCGGGATAGTTTCTTTGCTTCGTGTAGCCATTTAGAATCAAATGACATAAGTAATTTACTTGTTTCAGGTCCAAGAACAACAAATCTTAACTAAAAACTTAAATATTGCATGTCTTGAACTAAGAACAAGTAGAGGTACTTATATTATCTGGCTTTCAAATTGGATCAAATTACCCAAGTACCTAGGCTAGTTTAGGACTTAAGAACAAAAATAATTCTGAGTAACTTTTAACAATACAATTAAAGAGATAATGTCGTGATTTTTTACATTAACCACCATACTGATAAATCACTAAGTGGCTTGGCTTAGTAATATTATCTTGAATTTGTGTTTGTCGATATTTATCTAACTTCAACCATGAAAAACATTGTGGATGTGTGTACTCTGCACCTGCAGGAGCATACGTATACCTAGTACCCTTGGGTTGAAGGATGAAGACGTATTTGGGAGGATTTTTTCCATCTCAAATTTTCGAAAGGGCTTTAAAAATGACTGAATGATTATTTTAAAAAAAAAGATTTAGAGTTTTTTAACACTTGGATCTTACCCTTAAAAAATCGGGATGATCTTTATTCAATGATTTTTATCAAGTTAAAGTGCGATTTAGAAACTTTTAATTGTTGAAATTAGCTTATGGGTTGAAAATGTTACATGTCAAAATTTGAAGTCCTAAAAATAAATTTATATTGGGTTTTACTAGAAGAAGTAAACAGACAATATGCTCCTCCAGGTGAAATCTTTTGGCACCCCTTTTTGAATTAAGAGGGAGAATAAATTCAGAGAGACGGTAGTGTCCAGTAGAGGGAGGAAGAGAGATCCCCTAGGCAGATAGAAAGAGTGAGACGAGACAGATTTTTTTTTTTTTTTTGAGAATTTTATATGTAAATCTTATTTTTAGTTTTAAAGATAAAACTAGTCTTATACATTTCATTTCTTACAATCATTTTCTAGAATATAAATATATGGAAAATTGTTTCATGCGGGCTGGACGGCATGACTACTTATGCAGTCCAAACAATGTAATGCATCCATTTTTAGTAAGATGGATGCAAGTAGGTGTTCCATCTAAAATCAACGAAAATTAACTGTCTAAATGTCTTCTTTCTAGAATTATTATTTTAACTTTTTTTAATTTACTTATTTTTTTCATATTTACGATCTCCATGTTAGAGATTTCATGTCCTTAAAAATTAAGTCAAAATATCCATCTAAAAAATAGATCTATTAATAGCCCGCATTTTTACATATGTGGGCTTGGCTGCATAGAAACGGGGTCCAAGATATATTTCAGTTTTATCTATTTTGCTCTATATAAGATCAATTTCAAATTTGCATATCCATATTTCTCACTATTATATAGAAATAAAAAACGGATTATTTCATAATAGGTGTGGGTTGTATAAGGTTGAGGCTCTAAACAATCAAAATAATGTGCACCTTCAAATAGTTATCAAATATGTTGTTTTAATACCATAGATCTTCATGATGAGTTTAAAATTTATTTTTATCTAGAATTATAAAATTTAAAGATTAAAAAATAGTTTAGATCGAACAGATTTATGAACACTTAAAAATTGATAGGGTAGATAATACATTACAATATGTATTATTTTCAAAATTTGAAATCTATTTTTCTCGTATCGATACATCTAGAGGTCAAAGATGATTGAATAGAGGGCTTTTTACTATCAAAATATATATCTCTTCCAATAAATTTTTGAGTTGCACGTTAATTTGATTGTTTAGGGCCTGAACCTTATATAAATTTTTTGCTTTCAAATGTGATATATAGAAAGATAAAGAAAATTAAAATATACTTTATATTTGGAAGAATAAGGTTAATTGTAAAAAAAAAACATTTTTAACATAAAAATAACACAATTATCACTAGATAATGAGAATATTTACCTTTAATTAAAAGTGGCTATAATTCTTTACAACCGTTTGATGTGAAATTTGATAGTATCGACGTATTTTGAAAAATTCTTTTTTAAAGTTCGAAGTTGATCAATAAAATAATTACGGCCAACAAATTTCACATCCAACGATCAAGATTATCATGGTCGCTGATCGTTTTTTAGAAAGAGAGAGTGAGGAGGCGGCAAAAAAGCCCGCGTCTGGCAAAGCGCGGGTAGAGATAGAGAGAGAAAATGGCGAGTCTTTCCCTCTCTCCCCATTTAAAAGAAGCTTCAAAACTCATTCCCCTTCATTTCATTCCGCCCTCTCTCTTTACCACCGTCGCCATGGCCAGAGACGAGGACGAATTCAGAGGAGAGATAGAGGAGCGTCTCATAAACGAGGAGTACAAGATCTGGAAGAAGAACACCCCTTTCCTCTACGACCTGGTCATAACCCATGCCCTAGAATGGCCATCTCTCACTGTTCAGTGGCTCCCTGATAGGACTGAGCCTCCTGGAAAGGACCACTCTGTTCAGAAAATGATCCTTGGAACCCACACCTCTGATAACGAGCCCAATTATTTGATGCTCGCTCAAGTTCAGCTTCCCCTCGAAGATGCAGAGAGTGACGCTCGTCAATATGATGATGAGAGGGGTGAAATTGGTGGGTTTGGGTGCGCTAATGGCAAGGTATAACATGCTTGCACTCTTATCTCTCTCTCTCTCTAATTTTTGCCATTATAATATGCTCGCCTTATCTCTCTCTCTGACTTTGCATTGCTTTGGTATAAGAATTTCCTGTTTGCGCAGATGTGTTAGCCATTCTCTCTCTAGGCGTGTCTATCACTGTGGTTTTCTCCCTATGCATGTCTATCTTGCTTGTCATGTCTCTTTATTTTGGATGAACTGAGTGGAAATTTGTGTTTCTCCTATTTACTCTGGAGATTTTGCTACATTGTTTGTTTGATTCTTTCTCTCTCTATGTTTGTATAGATGGAGTGCATTTTGCATGTTTCTTTCTCTCTTGTTTGCAGCAAAAGACCCAATTCCACGCCATAAATCAGGGTTTCTGGATGTTAACCTAGGCTGTGGGGCTCTTTTAACCATCCTCTAAATCCACATATTGACATATTTCCTTATTTTAGGAAGAAACTAGGGTTTCTATCCCATTTTCTATAATTTGAAAACATCATTAATTCTGATCTTGATCAGAAGATTGGGGTGTGCAAAAAGGTTGTCATCTGTCCTTCTATGCTCACTTGGTTTGTTTGCTCTCCTCCTCTCTTTATCTTGACCTTTTATTATTATCACTTGCAGTTTGCGTATGCCTCCATCCAACCCAATTCATTTTTTGAAATAAATGTTTTGCTTAGTCTAAACTCTCCCACCTGTCACAGGATACACATTCATCCGAGGTGGCCGACCCCCTTCTTCCTCTTCAACCAAGTCCAATATCGTAGAAAGCTACACAAGCTATCTGGCATCCATTAAATCATAAAGGAAATTGATACATACAATGCTGGGAAGTGAAAAGTGCAAATAAGTGGTTTAACACTGTTTTGAAGTCATCTTGGTTTATTTGTCTCCATGAGAGCCCCGTAAACATAGTAAACCAATCATCATCATCATCATCAGAGTCTTTTCCCAATTATTTGATGTAGGCTATACAAATTGTTGAATTCTGATCTGCCATTTTGCTTCATAAACGACCATACCCTAAGTGAGGCCACAAGTCCCTATATATTTTCTTACTACTTCCAATCATGTCCTTTTGGACTTAACCCTTTCCCTTTCTAGGCCTTCTACTTGAACCAACTCGCACCTCCTAATAGAAGATCTAGTGGCCCTAGTAGGGTCAGTTGATGTCCCTGAAGCATCCATGACCATGTCCCATGTTAATCCTTCATGCTTTTTGGCCTCATCATCATCAACTAACCACTCTATAGCATTGTTCATATTTTTTGATCTGATGGGGTCTCTCTTATCTCTCTTAGCAAACCTGTCTTTTAAGAATCGATTATACTTGACATAGACTAGGTCATTGAGCCTCTTTGATTCAAGCTTGTTCCTTCTCTTTGTATGAATCTAACAAAATCAAATGAAATTAATTAAAATCTATTATTCATGTGTTATTAATACAATTATACAAATTACTCTTACAGTCTAGTACTCCAATTGCGCTCACAACCGGATGAGGAAGTGGTTAGGTTAAGATCCGAATGACCAACTTTTGTAAATTTGGAGAACTACACCCATGTTGGCTCCACTAATTGGCTGCAAAGATATAGAATAAAATCATAAATAAATAATAGAATTATAAAAATGAAACTTGATTATTTGAACTTGATGAACTTAAAAATATTATTACTACGGTACTTGGATCAATTTTGGTCATTTGCCTCATCGCTATTGGACTCTCAAAAGACTTTAATGAGTACTTGTAATTTATCAGCTCATCAATGCATATAATATCCTGGATATCAGGATCAAGGACTAGTACATCTATATACTTTTTAAAGCCAGTCATAATTGTGTCATTTGTGTGTATATCTTTGTCAACATAAAAAAACTGGGTTCAAATAATAACCAATTGCTTGCAATGGCTGATGTAGTTGCCTATCCCACTTCTCATCAATAATCTTCAAAACAGGCTTGTAGAAGTTCTCATAATTATCAAAATTTTGAGCTATCTTTCTTTTGCATTTCTCCATAGCCTCATATATATAGCCCATAGAATGCTTGTCACTATCAACCATGCGAAGGACTTTGACAAGAGGAAAAAATACCTTAAGAGAGCCCTTCATCCCTTGCCAAAAAGCCTTAGAAAGGATAATATCTCTCACCTTCTTTCCAACCTGATCCTTGGACCACTTGCATGCTCTCCAGTCATTCGAGGTAACATCTGCCTCAATTGCACTATCCTCGAATGTATGCTATCTAAGCATAAGTACCAGGTCGCAAATCTCGTGACCCCAGGCCTCACAATCTCTTTCTTCTTTGTAAATCTACGCATCATGTTGAGGGTGAGATGGTGGCCATAAATGAAATTTGTAACTAACTTTTCCTTCTTCAATGCACCTGATATCTCGGTTAAACCACCAAGAGCATCAAGCATGAGGTCTATACAATGTTCTGCACATGATATCCAAAAGAGTCTAGGATAAGCTATGCGCAACAAATTAGCTGCAGCAACATTAGGAGCAGCATTGTTTGTGACAACCTGTACAACAAGATGCTCTCCAACCTCCTTGATTCCCTTCTCTATAACTTGGAATATGTAATGGGCATCATGGATATGATCAGAGGCATCAATAGACTTCAAAATACTAGTCCCTAAAGGACAATTCACAAGCAAATTCATCTGACTTCTTCTCTTCCTATCACTCCAAGTATCAGTCATAATAGAAACCCCATACTGAGCCTATGCATTCTTCTTAACTTCTACAACTTCCTTCGTGACACTCACCTCTTTTTTCAAAAGAGGTTCTGAAAGCTCATATGGGGTTGAGGGTTTCATCTCAAGCCCTCATTGGCCAATTGCCTCTACTGGGGCATAGAAGCTGCTTAAGCGAGCGGTATTGAAAGGAATGCCCGCCTCATAAAACCATGTAGCAAGATAATAAGCAGCTCTATCTCTCTTCCTTCTTCATTCTATTTTCAATGGTGGTTTGCTTCTTTGTTTTCTCTCCTGCAACCTCAAGGTCAGGTCGAGGAAAAAAACTATCCATAGGGCCTCTAACCCGAGGCTTCTTACTCCCAAAACCAGAACCAGAAGCAATTACAACTCCCTTTCCCTTTCCCGTAATAATGGATTGTTTTACCTCTTGACATCCCTCCCCAATCCCATCCTCATCACTATCATCATCATCATAATTGTCTAGAACCCCAGACCTAATCTGTGCTATAGAGGCAAATCTCTCGTCTTTTTTTATTTTTACCATATTAAAAAACATGGTTATTTCCTCTTTAACAACATCAGGAGTCTTTTTACATGGGGCAACATCCTCCCTAATATCGGCAAGATGTTTCTTGAACCAGTTTATAGCCCCTTTTGTATCCTTCTCACAAAGCTTGCATCTTATACAATTTTTATCATTAGGATTTGGGTTGTAGCCATATTTTCAATCGGGATCACCACTCCTATTAGATCCCAAAGAAGACATCTCAAAATAATGCAATTTATACAAGCAACAATCTCCAAACTTCCACCTCAGAGATGCTTCTAAGGACTCAAAATCTTTGAAAAACCCACCCAATAGATTTCTAAAACATAAAAAATTAAATCTAATATCAATGGGTGATGTTTTGATCAATTTCTCATAACTTTGAGAAACCTTTTGATATTAAAGAAAGCACCAAAAAACTGTTGTTTGGGGGCTTTCTCTCTCTAAAATGGGGTCCAATATGTTTTAGGTTTCAAATGGACCTAAAACATCCATTTTTGGCCCTTTAGTATAAGAAACAAAGACAAAAAATGCCTCATTGAAAACTGTTTTCCGCCTTTGGGCGGGGCGCAGTCTCGGGCAGCCACCCAGGTCTGGGGGCTGGGCGGCCGCCTAGGCAGTTCTGGGCGCATAGGTGGGCGCCCAGGGACGACCTCTTTTTTAGGGCACCATCGCCCAGGGCCCCCAAATTCGCCTAGGCGCTGGGAGGTTCGCTTTTGGAACACTGAACACCACTAAACTGAACCTGTCTCTTTGGCCCAAGTTGGTATTTGATTATGATCGGGTACTGGTGCTTTGTGTGGATCGAAAGAGCCAGTGTCCATTACTGGTGGCTTACAAAACATATTAAAAGAGACGGGTTTAACATCGAATGAACTGGCCATTTCTGACTCTTCTAGACTAATAGAACTATAAAACTATATTCTATTCTCGAGCCTTTGGTTTCCTTTTTGTTTGTAAATTTTTTTCTTCAGTTTTCCAAGTGGGCTGGTATATTCCAAAATAGCATAGTTTTGGCCAATCCAAATTGTTCCTGTCAAAACAGGCTGGTATGGCCCAATCAAAGTGTTTCCAACTTATACTTGAACAGCTGCCTAGAGTGGGTTGGTAGAATCAATTCATTGGGGTGCCCCAATTGTGTGTGGCTTGATCAGGTGCAGGCTGCAACCATTTTGAAGAATGTTATATTAAGTGCTGTATTGTGCTTTTTGTTTTGCAGGTGCAAATAATTCAGCAGATCAATCATGATGGGGAGGTCAATCGAGCTCGTTACATGCCTCAAAACCCTTTTATTATTGCAACAAAGACTGTTTCTGCTGAAGTTTATGTTTTCGATTATAGCAAGCACCCCTCTAAACCTCCTCAGGAAGGTGGATGTCATCCTGATCTACGGTTGAGAGGCCACAATACAGAAGGCTATGGCTTATCTTGGAGCATTTTTAAGCAAGGGCATCTTTTGAGCGGATCTGATGATGCTCAGATTTGCTTATGGGACATCAATGCTACCCCGAAAAATAAAGTGCTTGAAGCACAACAGATTTTTAAGGTAAGACTCTAAAAGTACAAATGCCTGATTTTTTCCACTCTTCATGTCTTGAATGTTCTACATTTGAGTTGATATGTTAAGAATAAACACTGAGCCCTTAACAAGGACATTTGACCATATTTTGGCTTGCTATTTGTGCTTCTTATGCATGATGTTCACTTCCCATACAGTGCGCACGCACACATGCACATCCATTTCCACCTCATATCTCCAGATAAATAGCGCATGGCAATTTTCTTGAACACAAGAAGCCCTTCCTGTACACTATATCCTAATGTCGACATATCCATATTTACCTCATGCTCCATATAATAGAACATGAAGTTTTTCCCGAACAATAGGAGCAAGACTAGATGTGCTAGAAGCACAGCGGATTCTTACTTTTGAACTAGTAAATTTTATATACACAAAAAAAGTGGTGCTGATTTTTAGGTAGATACTCTTAAAAGTACACATGCATGATTTTTTTTCCTGAATATTATTTTATTAGTTGATTCCCCTAAGATCAAGGCAGTAAGACCTTAACAAAGTTAGGCATCCATATTTAGCAGAGAGAGGGGAAAATAATTGATAGACGACCATATCTTAGTTGCTAGTTGTGCACTTGTGCTTCCTAGTCATGATTTTCATTAACTTCCCATACACTACGCACTCATGAAGACAAATCCACATACAAGAACTCCAGATAAATAAAAGATGGCATTTTGCTTTAATAGTAGGAGCAAAATTCATTCATTTCTTACCATACATCTTTGCTTACATGAGAAAGTTTTTGCCTGTTATACAGTTCAATAAAATAGCTTAAAGTATGTTCTTTGATAACATAACTTCGATGATTCAATCTTATAACAATAAGGTCTTGTTTTTATGGATTTACCACTGGAAAGATTGAGCTCACTATGAGAATATTGCAATCAGGTCCATGAGGGTGTTGTTGAAGATGTTGCGTGGCATTTAAGGCATGAATACTTGTTTGGTTCAGTTGGGGATGATCGCCAACTGCTTATATGGGATCTACGCACACCATCTGCTAACAAACCTATTCACTCTGTCATTGCTCACCAAGGTGAGGTAAGGCTTCAAAGTTCTTCGAGAATGTCGTCTCTTTAGCATTGTATCACAATTACAAATTGATAATTGAGGCATATCCTAGGTCAGTATTTCTCAAAGAAAAAGATAATTAAAGCATAACGTATCGAAGGCGTCAATTTTATCTACAATGAAATCATCTTTTTTTGGTATGATTTCTTCACAATCTCATATTATGTCTATTTATTTATTTAATTTTTTTTTGTTTTTTTTTTTGGGAAGAAGTATTTGACTGTATTGTATTTATAGTGTATGTGTTATATTAAGTCCAAATTCCCTAGTGACTGTAGTTAGATTACTGTTGAGCATGGAAGTCTGACGTTGGAATTCTTAAGTAATATGAGATATTGTGCTTGTGGAAGTTGTTATTCTTCTATAATGGATTTTGGTGCTATGACCAGGGCAGTTTCGCTTTGTGTTTTGGTCATTGGTTATTAAAAAGTACTGTCTTTATATACATATATGTCTGTGTGTGGAGGAACATGAATTTAATGCACATCGGTACATTTTCCCAATTATAATCATCTTTTCACAAGAAGTGAAACATGAATGTTCATATGCATGGATTGGGCATCAATTATCTGCTAAGATGCTATATCCCAGACGCTCTCTTAGATTGAGATGGAAAATCCTTATGTTTGATCCTGTGAATGCTTTGGTTGACAATTACTTAGCTCTATTTTGATGGGTAGTATCCTAAGGTCCTGTTTTGCAATTTGACATTGAGGATTTTCAGTTATGTACAGACTTCAGCACAAGTATGCATGGACAAAATTGAGGTCTTGTTGTTCTCATTTTTCTTCTTTATCTTTTGAGGATATTTGATTTCATTTTCATTGTTTCTTGTGCAATCTTATTGTTATTGTTCTTTTAAAATCGTTTAACTCATCAGGAATGAACATTTTTGTTTTTCATTTTACATGTGATTTCTGATTCTGATCCATAATCTTTATTTTTCTATGGCTAATGTACTTGGTGAGGGGACTAACCCTGTTTATTTATTTATTTTCCGACTTGAATATATTACTGAATGAGTACATTGATGTGCTTCCTTTTTCTAGGAAACCTTGATAGCTTATCTATTTGATGTTTATATGTAGGTTAATTGCCTGGCATTTAATCCTTTCAATGAGTGGGTTTTAGCTACTGGATCTGCGGATAGAACTGTCAAGCTTTTTGACCTTCGCAAGATCAGTACTGCTCTTCATACGTTTTCTTGCCACAAGTGAGTGCCTACATCTTTAACTCATTTAATTTCTCTGGCTTTTACCTTTCAAATAAAAGTCTCTTGTTTTATTTAGATCCTGTCTGTTACAGGTTGAATCAGTTTATGTGATGGAAGTATTATATTAGATGACAAATGTTGTGATATATATCATTTTATGTTCTGCATTGATGTCCAGCTAAAAGGTGCACTTTGCTTCATGTGAAAGCTAAAGTAATTGGGATTCTTTGATAGTACTGTAAATTGTTAAAGGCCTTCCTTGAGTATATAGATACATAGATGCATGGACAGCAGGATTTTTATTTTCAGGATAAAAGGTGATGCATAAGTTGGGTGTGAACAATTTGTTAGTCTCTTTATTCCTTTACCTTTTAGAGATTAAATTATCATTGTGAATGACTTGTCTTTCATCCACTTGGCATTTCATAACTGTTTGCCATGTCCCCGACTTCTATGTAATCATTGTAATGCTCCAATTGTTCAAAAAAATGGACCGCCCAACACAAAGGCGGTTCAGAAGGCCTGGGCGCATCGCCCAAGCCTAGGCGGCCAAACTAGGGGCGGCCGCCCAGGGCCTGCGCCCCGCCCAGAGGCGGAAATGTTTTTTTTTTATTTTTGTTTTGATTTTTTTAAAGATATAAAAGGTTAGCAGGAGGGGATTTAGGTTCATTTGAAACATCAACCCACAAGAACCCCTTTTAGAGAGAAAGAAACCTCAATAAAACTACATTTCATTGGATCGAAGTGTCTCAAAGTTTGGAGTTTGAGCAATCAAAGTAAGTGCAAAACTTTATTTTTTAGATTGATTGTTTTATTTTGAGATGTCTTTTTCAAGAGTTAGTCGGAGTAGAGATCCGGGTTGGAAATATGGATACAACCCGAATCCAAATGACAAAAATTGCATTAGATGCAATTTTTGTGAAAAAGATACAAAGGAAGGCATAAACCGATTTGAGAACATCTTGCCGGTATTAAGGGGGATGCTGCCCTTTGTAAAAATATTCCTGAAGCTCTCAGAGAGGAGATCAAGCAATATTTGAGTTTTGGAAAACAAAAACAGGAACAAAATCCTTGTCATAGATCTATTTCTGGTACTTTTAGAAGAAGTGATCTGGGTTTGAAGTATGGGTACAACCCAAAACCAAATGATAAAAATTGTATAAGGTGTAATTTTTGTGAAAAAGATACCAATGGGGGTATTAGGCGATTCAAAAAACACCTTGCTGGTGTTAGAGGTAATGTTGTTTCTTGTACAAAAGTTCTTGAAGCAATTCGGGATGAGATTAGACATCTTCTGAATTTAGAAGACCCAGAAAAGATTGGAAATAAGCCTGTTCTATTGAAGTATCTTTTTCAGGTTCTAGTCGGAGTGGTTTTCTGGGTTGGAAGTATAATTATAAGCTGAATCCAAGTGATAAAAATTATATTAAATGTAATTATTGTGGAAATGATACTAATTGGGGCATTTACCGGTATAAAAAACACCTTGCCGGTATTAGAGAGGATGTTGCCCTATGTAAAAATGTTCCTGAGGCTACCAGGGAGGAAATTATACAATATTTGAGTTCAGAGAAGCACAAAGAAAATGGTAGAGCAGCCAAGACTCCTAAGGCCTCATTTGCACATACTGCATGTACTAGTAAGAAGAAGGTAGAAGAAGATGAGGAGGAAGATGTAGATTCAGAAGAAACAGAGGAGGACGAGCGATATTGAAGAGGGAGATGATTCTGATGATGATGGCTTCAACTCTGATGCATATGATGAGGCTTGCCCAATTGATATTCCTTCTGATGATGATATTGATGATGATGATGATGATGACGACTGAAGACTCTTGACTCTTAGTTCTGAGTGTTGAGTGTTGACTGTTGTGTTGAGTCATGAGTGTTGACTTTTGTTAGATTGTATATTTTCTAAATTTCTGTATATTTATGTTGTGTCGAGTGTTGACTTTTATATCCTACACTTGTATGGTTTTACAGTTTACTGTTTTAACAATATGGATTATCAAAATTCTCTTCTCGACATCCATCTTTTTTTTTTTTTCAATTTGGAATATGGTATTTGGTAATTTGGTATTTTTTTTCAACTAGGCAGCCGCCCAGATTCTGGGCGCCCGCCTAGGCGCTGGGCGGCCTAGACCCCCCAGGCCGCTTAAGACCCGCCTAGCGCTTTTTGATAAACTGAATGCTCCCATTTCACCCAAATTGCGATTTGGCCCTTTCCCTTGATTTCACCCTCACTAGCTTAGCCCTTCAAGTTTTCTGATCTTAGGGATGAAGCCAAGCTGTTATCCCTTTACATGTCACTTTTCTTAGTTATCTAGACTCCAATTGGTCATCCATGAATCTTGGTGGGCCTCAGGTCTAAAGTTATGCCTGTGGTGATATCGTGTGATGTCAATTGAACCTTATCTTCTTTGCATTTCATGGATTAAAGTTGAAGGCTATGGTGCCTTTATTTTGTTGTGGTATATTTTAATGCCACACCCATTTTTCAAGTATCCATGTATCACACATCTAAAATATTTGTCCACAAGTACCAAACTCTCTATTGCATGAAATGTTTGTCTTCTATATCTAGGCTCACATTAGAAATATCCACAGCTTTGTACACATTTCTTGTATCCAGCTTGTTCTAGGTTGAATCTGTGATTCGCTTTTCATTGTTCCTCCTATTTCAATGGCATGCTAACCTGTTTTAGGTTTCGATTTTGGCGGCTTTTCTTGGGAAGGTTTCAGGAATTTTAGGGAATATATTGAGTGGTAAAATTTATTAGTGTCACATTCTCTACTTGATTGTTGGATCTAGTTAAGCAATATGCACATCAACCATCTTTGGAATTGAGTACTTTTTATTGGACAACAATTGCAAAAACTGGAAATGGATAAAAGGAAAAGAAAATAAAGAACAACAAAATTCAATAATCAGCATCATCATTTAATGGCCTTCCATCCCATTTCTGTTGGAACCTGAGCGGTTGTTGATGGTTGAGTTCTCCCATGACACCTTTAATTCAGCTTCAGTCGATTTACCTGATCGTTTGCACCAGAATGAGTTGCCTGCTGATCCCATATAACATTTTTTTTTCTTTTTTTGAAGATGTACATATAATACCTTTTTGTTTTTGTCTGATCTCTTCTAGCTCTTTGAGATACAAATTGAATATTTTTGGAGAAGATTTGTCTTTTGAGCTGTAGCTCAATTGTGTGGAATGTCTGAAATGTCACATTTTCTGGGAGATGTAAATCATCAGTTTCAAATGTAACATTTTTTTTGTTTTTTGGTGTTTGGGAGGTGGAGGGGAGATTGCCTATTGAGCTGTCGCTCAACATGTCAAATATCTGAAATGTTACATTTTTTTTGGAGAATGGAGCTCAACTTTTGCCTCTTTTGTTGCAGCTCTTGCAGAAATTTAGTTTTTGTCAAAGGTGGTAAGGTTGAAAACCACCCTTACCCTGAAAACTGAATCCGCGAGAGTAAGTCATGTTACTTGGAAATTGGCTTACATTTTGATCAATCCAAAAAACAAATATGGCTTATGCTTCATTAGAATTGATATTTAGTGATGAGGTTGATGGATGAGCACTAGCTTGTTGTTGTGCTCTGTACAAGAGGAACAGGGGTAGGGACCCCTTTTTAGTGACATTTTGCATGAGTTGATGAATCGATTTGGGTGCCGGCAATTTATCGTCATCTACCGAACACCTTCTCATGCAAAAAGCACCAGAATCGGTTCTGCAATCCTTTCTCAAGGGAAGCCTTAACATTTTGGCTGAACAACACAGATCATTCAGTATTTTGTGTTCACAGATTGTTCAGTATTTTCCCCTAGTAGAACAGAAAATGGACTAACAGGTGGCCTATTAGATGTGATTTATTTCTTTATTGTTACAGAGGATGGTATTGTTTATTTTTTTTATTTTTCCTTTCAATTTTATAAAGGATGCTATGACTCAATCAATATCTAGCAGTGAAACTGCTTTGCACTTGAATTTCTTTTGTTAATGAGCAGCTAAACAATGAGAGTATCGTGTCTACTACTAATATATTGCAAATTGCATTTTGTCGCTTATTAGAAGTTTTGTGTTTTCTCATTTGTGGCTTATCGTGTTGTCATTATATTTTAGGGAGGAGGTTTTCCAAATTGGTTGGAATCCCAAGAATGAAACAATATTGGCATCTTGCTGTGCTGATAGGCGAATGATGGTGTGGGACCTCAGCAGGTCTCTGTCTCTTTCTCTCTCTCTCTCTCTCTCTCTTTCTTTCTCCCCTAAAAGAACTAATATACTTTAAATTAATCAAAATTAGTAATAAAAAAAAAGCTGTTTGTGTAGAATTGTGAGAAAGTAATTTGTTTGTGTAGATAAGAAGTGCCTATCATGCCATTTGCTTCTTTTTGGAAAGAAGAAATTATTTATGAAACTTTGTTTTGGTGAAATATACAATGAGACTCGTTACCTTTGGTACAAGTTAGTAACAATTAATCTTGACATTGGATGTGAAATTCGATGGCTGCATTTATTCCCCTTGAACGAGCTCAAATTTAAAAGGATATTTTTTGAACTTTGTGGTGCATTAAAGCTATCAGATTTCATATCAGATGGTTATAAGTAATTAAGTAAGCGTGCAATTTGCATATGGATGCATCCGTTGCTGTAGAGGTAAGGTGCACCTTCAAATTTTATCATGGTATATAATTTTGATGTAAAATGTTGTTAGGATTATCTCAAAATCTATTTTTATATCTAATTATAAAATTTTAAATTTCAAAAATGGATAAAATCAAGTAGATCTATAAACATATGAAAATCTTGAAAATAGACTGTGTATTATTTCTGAGACTTAAAATGTTTTTATTTTTCATGGTCATACATCTCGATGTCGAGATGATCAAAGAAAGGGTTTTTCAACATTAAAACTACCTTTTCCGATTGATTTTTGAGGTGCATCCGTAGTTTTACATTATAAGGTTGCATCTTTATATAAATTTTTTCCATTAAGTAATAGTGACCTCTTTATATCAAAGGTAAATAGTCTCACACGGGCACTGTATGCAATCCTTTCTGTTTTTTCTTTTTGGGAATGGTTTATAACTTTTTTGTTTTTTTCTTTTCTGGTAGAATTGATGAAGAACAGACGCCTGAGGATGCGGAAGATGGGCCCCCTGAACTGCTGTTCATCCATGGTGGTCATACGAGTAAAATCTCTGATTTCTCGTGGAACCCTTGTGAAGATTGGGTGATAGCGAGTGTGGCTGAAGACAACATCCTCCAAATTTGGCAAATGGCTGAGAACATATATCACGACGACGATGAATTACCTGCGGATGAATCAGCCAAAGCTTCATAATGAACTCATGTTTTGGCAAGTTTTGTAATTAGCCAAAGCCAAAGCTTTGTAGTCTACTCGTGTTTTTAACATCCGACTTTGAAAATTTTAGTTTGGTCTCTTTCTCCCTCACCTTTCAAATGAAAAAAGAAGAAGTCCTCTCTCTGTAGGTGCACGCTGCTGTGTGGTGTTAATGGGAAAGTTTATGGGGACTTGGAATTTGGCGAGCTAGATTTTTCAATTTTGTTTTGTTGCTGAAATTGAGTCCCTAACTGGAGGAGTTAATGGTGTCGTATGCTTTAAGCAGTGATATTGAGATGAGTTGATTGAAAAGAGAGAGAGAGAGAGAGAGAGAGAGAGGAGGGGAGGAGGGCGTAGAGAGGGGAGGGAGGGAGGAGAAGGAGGTAGTAGGAGGAGGGAGGGAGGGAGGACGTGAGGAAGGTAGTAGAGAGAGAGAGGCGAGGACTGAGAAGGGATTAGAGAGAGAGAGGCGAGGACTGAGAAGGGATTAGAGAGAGAGAGGTGGGGTTAGAGAGAGAGATTCAAAATGAGAACCTTAAAAACGACCACTAACATGTATAAGGGGGCAAGGAAGGTACAAGGAGTGATATGCCCAAAGTGACAACTCGAACCTGTGCTCTTGTGCTGGCTATTCGAGCCTTTTTTTACCGTCACACCCATGAAACGAAGATGAGAGAGAGAGAGAGAGAGGGGTTCAAAATGACAACCGCGGTTTTACCAAGAGGCACTTGTCCTTGAAGACGGTAGAGTGAGAAAGCAGAAAAAGACATTAGAGGGAGAAATAATGTGTCTTTGTTCCAAGGATGCAAGCAGACAAGGGAGCCACTACATTGTCCGCATTCCCAGCTCTTCTCTTTTCACATTTCCCTCATCTCTCTCTCTCTCTCTCTGTCCTACTTGTTGCCATTTGGATTTTGATTCTCTCTCTACCCTACGTGATGTTAACATTTGGAATTTGAAACCATAATTTGGCCAGTTGGAGGATATTGTCCTTTTCCCCATCTCTTGTTCTTTAGTCATACATAAGGTGAGAGTGAGACCCTACCACTCTCCATTTTGTTTTTACTACTGCAACTCTACCACTTCCCAACAAACTTCAGTTGGCCCATCTTGACTTGGAAATACACACATAAAATAAGAGCGCGTTTAGTGCGCTAAATAAAATAAGGGCGTATAGTGTAGTCCCGCGGGCAAGCCAGCTGCCCGGGGTCCACTGTAGAAACACAACGCGTATTTTTCTGAATACAACAATGGATTTTCAAGAGTGAGTTCCAGAGCCCTTCAATTGAAATCTAAAAAACAATACATCTCATGACAAGTTATCTTGACTGTTTATTTTTTAGATTTTCAAGTATTTATTGATTTTTTTATATGTGTATTCTTTTTAAAAGTTTAAATTTTATAACTAATGATGAAAATAGATTTCCAAGTCGACAATGGAATGATAGCTCTACAGAAAATTTCTATAGTATAAAAAGGCGAAATTATACAAACTTCACCCACATTTGAAATGCCTGCCAACTTTATCTAGTGCCTAATTCACAATGGCAACGTTCTAATGTCTTTGGAGATAATTGTGCACATGCCAATGCACTTGTAGATCGATTTTATTAGTGAAGTTATACTTTAGTGTTAGTTGGGATCGATCCAAAATAAAAAGATTTTCAGATTGTCGTCTAAAACTCTTTCGAAGTAAAAATGAATAAAAAGAAGAAATGCAGGCAGGTTTTGGACAATATGATGTGCTCTAGTAGGAGAAAATTGTAGAGTTATATCTTCAGGCAAAAGACCCACTTTGGAAGATTTATTTATTTTTCCAATCCAAAAGTTAACATCCACCTTCAGAATTACTAAATGAATATTCTGAAATAATAGACTTCTTACTTATTTACCTAGGCCGTACCATCAAAAAATTTGATAATATGAGTTTAATCTCAAGGTGTTATTTCTTTCAAGCACTTCCAAAATGTTGTAGCATAGAGTTTAAAAAAAAGAAGAAGTAGGCCCAACAGGATATGGTTAGAAATAGTGAGAAAAGATAGCGAGTCTTATGACCTCATTGAGGATATAGCCCTAGATTCGTATAGCCGACCTCAATTAGTTGAAAAAATACTTTAATACAATAAAAAAAATGATGAATTATAATTTATTTTCTTTTGAGATTGGTGTCGTTAAATTGAGTACATCACATCCCCGAAATTTAGAACTCTATAAAAGTACTGATTTCTTGAGGTTGGTCTTATTAATTTGAGTACGTCACATCCCCGAAATTTAAAATCTTATTGAATTACTGGTTTTGCTAGGAGAGCATATGAATATTTTGCTTGGCTGAGGGAGCACATGTATATTTTGCTCCCACTTCAACATATAATCTTTTCAGTGTTGCATGTTAAAGTCACAAAATATTTTCCCCTTTTCAAAGGGCAAATACGAATGATTTAAAAATCGGCGAGTCGAACCGGACTCGCCTGGTTTGACTCTGGAATCGACACAGCCCGTGCGGGTTCCAGCACAAAATCAGGAACCATCCAGTTCTAGAGCAGAACCGTCGGTTCCCACCCAGTTCTGTCCGGTTCCTTCCCGGTTCTAGCCTTCATATGTGTGTATGCGTCACGCATACGACACACACCACTCCCACACGTGCCATAAGTGCAACACGCACATGCATGCATGCACGTGTACATGTGCACATGTTTAGGCCTCAAAAACACCTTCACACGTGTGTATGCGTCACACGTGCAACACACACCATGCATGCATGCACATGTACATGTGCACATGTTTAGGCCTAAAAAACACCTTCATACGTGTGTATACGTCACACGTGCGACACACACCACTCCCACACCACACGTACGACACGCACATGCACACATGCATGTACACGGATGCCCTAGTGTTTTCACACTTGTGTTTATCTTCCAATTACATAGTTATTTATAAAGCATATTTGAATACTCATCATTCAATGTGAGATAATTCTCAAATATCATTAAATGAAAACAAAATGTAAATAGATGCTATTAATAGACAATTTTAAACATATATGCTAAGGAGGCATGATGGTTATCATTGAAGTTATTTGCTTTGACTTCTCAAGTTCGAATCCCCCCTTGAGCCATATAATAGTTTATCCCTTCTTGAGTTAATTTTTGTTCCCCCTTCGGCATATAATAAATTAAAGTGTTATTTTCAAAATTTGTACGTATTTTATTAATTTTAACATTGATAACCAAATCTTTTATTTTATTTATTAAGTTTTACATTATAAATCATGTAATGTACTCTTTTTCTTACAGTTGTCAATAATACATTTTAAATTCGATAATATTATAAAATATTTTTAATTTGTTATTATTTATCTAATAAAATAATTATAAAATGTAAACTAATAATTATAATTTTAGTCTAGAATATTATAATTAGTTAGGTTGTAATAATTTTGGATTATAGTTAGTTAGACTGTAATAATTTGGATTTTTTTAGCGGATTAGGGTTTTTTGCCAAAACAAAATTTTAATGGCCATTCTTTCATTGATTTAGTCTACTCTTTATTATAGTTCATGTATAATTATATATTTTATTCATAATAATTCTATGAATTTTCTTTTATGTGATGCAAATTTAATACTTAAGTTTATACAGGGAAAGTGCATCTCAATATTCACAAATTGATGCAAAAAATGAAAGTTAATAATGTAGTACCCTCATTTCTTATTGGATTCCTGAAACACAATATTTAATATTTTTTAATATTTTTAATATTTTTTTCGGATTTTTTTGAAGCTTTAATCCGATCGATTCAGCCAATCCCGATCCAGATCGCCGATTCGCCTATCCACATTGATTTTTGAGGTGCCCGATCCGAATCACCGATCCGCTTTTTAAACCATTGGCAAATACATTAATGTTTTCACTTTCCATCTACTAATAATGTTGGATACATTTATAAAAGATAGTTCCTCTGTACCATCCGACTTTAATTTGTCTCTATCACACTGTTGTAGAGCTTCACGAGCTGGTTTTGATTTTAGATATTAAAAGTGAAACTCATTAAATCACATATTAAAAGTGAAAAGCTAAAGTATTGCAAAAGTTTAAATGAAGATATTTCATTTTTGATATTTCGATTTAATCGGGGAGATTTGCTCTAGTATCCCCTTTTTTTGGAAATTGAAAATCTATCCTCTATGAATGGTCTAGATTCGTTTTTGGAGGGTCTCATTTTAACAATATCTAGGGTTCAAATTGAAATTTTTCTTTTTGGGGGATTGATTATTGAGATGAAGAGAGTGTGTGCGTAAAATTTGAAATCATAAAAATACCACAAACATGATTTTCTGGAAGTGTCATTGCAATATACTATGATACAACCGTTGTTTTGGATCATTGCTATATATATATATATATATATATGATAATCTAAACAACCCTTCAAGTTACAAAGGTTCAAGATAGAGAGAGTTGTGAAGGCTGGATTTATTAATTTATTTTTTTAAAAATGGTTACTTTTGTAGGGCAATTTTGTGAATATTACAAAGGGTACATTTGTCATCTCCATAAAGGGTAAAATTAAAATTTTAACTAAAGGATAAGGTACTTTACAAATAAAGTTTCAAGACACTCATTTTCAAAATGCCATTGTATTTTTGAAAAAATTTCAAATTTGTTCTTGGTTAATGATAAAGTTACCTCTTTAAATAAATTTTAATAAACAAATAATCATTGTTTTAATAAATACACCGTTCACAACTCTCTCTATCTTGAACCTTTGTAATTTGAAGGGATAAGAGCACTCTACAAATAAAGTTCCATGATACTAACTTCCAAAATGCTATTATATTTTGAAAATTTCAAATTTACCTTTGATTAATGGTAAAATTACATATTTAAATAATTTTTTAATAAAAAATAACCATTGTTTTGATAAATACACCCATCGCAACCCCTTCTAATACGAACCTTTGTATTTTGAGGGATTGTTAACTCTAGACAAACCCATATATATATATATATATATATTATGGGAAAAATTAGAGGGAAAAAAGCCCCCTACCCATTTTATATTAAAAAAAATAAAATATATTACAACTCATTATTTTATCGCCCTGTAATAGCGCATTTGTGCAACATTAATCAAAGATTTATGTTATTTTGACATTTACAGTTTGCATGACAGACTTTGTGGGAGCCTACATTTCTATGACAAGTTTGGAGGATTTTCACCCAAAACAAGTTTAAGTATATAAAAATGTGTCCTTGGAATCTATGTTTTATATGGAAGTAGCATGCTTAAACAACTTTTTAAAGGGCTTTGCAAAGTAAAGGCATAGCATTTTGAAACTGTTTTGTGGTCCTTTTTTCAAGTTCCTTTCCAAAGGCAGTTGCCATTGCTCCTTTACACATGCAAGAGGCCTTATAACCCATTAAAAGGAGAAATTGAAAAGATTATATGCTCCCCTAGGATATATTTCCTTTATTGGGTAAAACTCTAGTTAGGAGTATCTTTGGACTCTAAATTTTGAATTATGGGGATGTGACTTACTCGAATTAGTGACTGGTTAAAAAAAAAGGAAAAAAGAAAATGAAAAAAACTTCGACTAAAATTTGTAAAAATTGGGTAGTTTAAAGTCTTTTACAAATCAACTATGAATATGTTTTTTTAAATTTAATCCCTATGATATAATTTAAATTGTCTCATTAAGATGGAATTTCTCCGACCAAAGCAGCGTTGGGTTTGCATAAATGCTGGTCCTTAAGCCAGCACGAATCAACACATAATCAATAGCACATGTAACAATAAGATGAAAATCAATTGAAATGGTATTTCAATATATTTTAGACAATTAATAGCTGAAATAAAAACTAAAGGCTAATGTGTCTTACCTCTTACTCTCAAATGCCCAGCTCTTCCTTTTTTTTTTTATCTGAACATTGTACTCTGCAATGGGAATTTATGGACCCCTAATACTAACTCTCAAATTATGTCTCCATTGCTTCTATAAAAAAAAAAGGAGTAAGGAGAAAATAATAATAAGAAAAAAACTCTACCATGGATGTTGTGAAGCATTTCCATTTGGCCACATGCCACCTAATAACTCAGCAATGGCATTTTTTGTTTTGTACTTCAAAGAGGGGCATCTTGGACATTTTGAGGAGTGGGGATGCTTATGTCATTTGGGCAATGGTTGGGGTGTTTTGGTTAATCTCTCCCTAAGAACTTTTTTTTTAATGATAACCACAATATTCATTAAACCCGAGAAAAAATACATATAGAGAGTCCAATTAAGGAAAAATGTAACCAAAGAAGATTGGTATACACCACCCTTAACAAGAGAATCAACTTCTAAGAAAAAAAAAAGAGCAAACTAAATCGGTAAGTGAAAAGTGTAAAGGATGAATTTTTGCAAGGGAAAAGTTTGTATAAGTTTGTACCCTTATACTATATTGATTTTGAGATATATGAATATAAAACGATAATAGTAATTTTTAAGTCTTAAAATTAGTACATTTTGGGACAAGTTATTTAGATAATCTATTTTTAAGATTTTCAAATATTTATAAATTGACTCAATATGTATTGTTTTTGAAAAATTTAAATTTCACTCTTAGAGTTGAACACAAATTTTCATAGGTTTTCCAACACCAAAACTAAATCTCCATTTAAAGGTGCACCTCACAATATAGGGTCGGCACGCTATACAAATCTCACCCTTTTTCTAGTATCATATCACAAAACTAGGAAAAAAATGAGACTGAACCCAATTCAGAATACTTAGACCCAAGGGAGATTGAACTCAATTCAAAATAAATTCAATTTTATGTAAAAATTAGTAATTCTGATACAAACGTCCTCCTTTTTTTGTTTTCTAATTCTGAAAAAATATTCCCTTGAGAAAACCCAAAAAAGTTAAAAGAGAAAAAACCAACAAAGAATTGGTCCTAATTTTGGAGAACAGTTTAGTGCATGATTGATTTGATAACTGCCATGTTGAAGAACCTATGGACAAAGCATGTGCCCCACCTCCCAATAATGGAGGTCAACATCTGGCTTCCACCACCAGACCCAGATTAATAAAAACCAGGAACACCGAAAAGAAAAAATTAAAATTAAAAATTGAGAGTGAGCCAAGAAAGCCTCCTTAGGGTTTCTTTATCTCACTCTGAGAAATGCCCCATGCTTGTTACCTGAATCAACCCTGTTAGAGAATCTTCTCAAAGTTTGAGCTTTTTTGTTGCAGTGGCTCTCTTCCTGGTAAGAGAAAAAAAAACCCTTATTCTGAACCGAAGTTTGAAAGCCTAGTTTTGAGCCAAGTTAGATTTTTTTGACTGTTAAGAGCCCAATTTAGATGCTTTTTCTTTGATTATATTCCCTGAATTTGGAAGCCTCCTTGTGTGATTTCCTGCTACTTTGGGTTTTGTTTTTGGTCCAAATTTGTCATGGTCAGAAAATGTTGAGAAAACCAGGAAAGCCCATGTGAAATAGAGGAAATATTAATGGATTAGGAATGGAAAGCTTGGGTCTTTCTTGGTTTTCCTGAACTGGGTTCTTTAGTTTAGAGGTATCAGGAAAACCCAAAAATTTGGAGAAGAGTAAGTTGAATATAATGCAACAATGGGCTTTATCTAGTTGTTCTCATCATCTGAATTGTGTGTTGACAACATTTAAATGCTTTTTCTTTTCTTTCTTTTTTTCTTTTTTTCAGATCTGGAAGCCTGTGAATAAGCAATCCTAGAAGAATCGTTGACTGTTCAAGTCCAAATGTGGGATTCTTCGATATTTTTGTTTATGAAATTATTGGTTGACACGTTGATCTAGCTTTCAGAAAATTACAGGGAAATTTTTTTTCATTTATCAAACGCATGGGTTGATGATTAGTATTGGGAGTTGCAGCAAAAAATCCAGGGAGATAAGGTGATCAGGTTCTTTGAGAAATGGGAGTTTTTTGGTTGATTTCAGTTGTTGTCCTGTCTCTTTTGATCAGAAACGGAGAAGCTCAGGTAAATTCTTTTCTTATAGATTGTGGGGCAAATTCTACAACCAATGTCTCTGGTAGGAAATGGATTGGGGATTTAACAACTCAAAATTTAACAGTAAATCCTCCAGGAGTTGCAGCTTCAGCTATGTCGGTATCTTCTAATTCTAGGTACTCGAATTTGTACAAAACCGCAAGAATTTTCACCTCTTCTGCAAATTACACATTTGGAATCATTCCCGGAAATTACTTCATTCGCCTCCATTTCTACCCATTTCAATATGAGAATTACAGTCTGAATACCTCCACATTTAGTATCACAGCAAATGGGCTTCGGTTGCTTTCTCAGTTTAGCCCTTCCGATGAGATTTTCAACAAGAACTCATACTTGCAGAGTGTAAATAATAGCGCCCTGCCTATATTTTCCCTGATAAAAGAGTACTATGTCAACACTGAATCTTCTGAATTGTCATTACAGTTTGTCGCTGTTGATGGGTCCTTCTCTTTCGTGAATGCCATCGAAATAGTGGCCATCACAAACCCGTTATTCTCGCAGACTGTTACAAAAGTTAGTAGTGGGGAGTCGAATGTTTCTTTTGATGTTACCAATGGTGGCTTAGAGACCATGTACAGATTAAATGTGGGGGGACCCGAAATTTTTTCAGAAAATGATCTTGAGCTTTATAGGAATTGGGAATTGGACACTAACTATATGTTTGCACAAAATTCAGGTCCAGTGATGACTAACAGTTCAAGTATCAGTTACCAATCTCTTAATGATTCTCTACTGGCTCCTCTTGAAGTTTATGAATCTGCTCGGGGAATGCAAGATAATGCCTCGTTGGAAAAGAGGGCCAATATGTCTTGGAAGTTCTCGATCGACCCCGATTTCCAGTACTTAGTCCGGCTCCATTTTTGTGAGCTTAAGTATAACACGAGCAACCAGAGAATTTTCAAGATTTATATCAATAACGAAACGGCTTCGGACAATTTTGATATAGCTGCAAGAGCAGGGGGGCAAAACAAGGCTTATCACCAGGACTATTCTGACACAATTCCTTCTCATATTGACACTCTTTGGGTTCAGTTAGGGACTGACCCAGCTTCTGGGGCCTTCGACCTTGATGCCATACTTAACGGGTTGGAGATTTTCAAGATCAGTAAGAGTGGGAACCTGGCAAAATCCTCAAGGAAATTAAATTCTGGCAATGGTGAATTATCTGGTGGGCAGTCAAAGAAATGGATTTTGTGGGTTGCGATTGGATCAGGTATTACTGCCTTTGCCATTTTCTCAGCTTTATTTACTGTGCGTTTCTGCCGAAGAAAATCACCCATGAAACTCAAAAACCAGATCCCAGGTTTCCGGCCCCTCATTCTTTATGGCAACGGCAATACCAGCACTGACCCAAAAAATTCGAAAGCCCCTCTAAATTCAAATGGGTCGCTCTATCGAATCGGTAGGAAATTCACAATCTCTGAGATAGTTTCTGCGACTAATAACTTCGATGAGTCCTTAGTAATTGGAATCGGAGGGTTTGGTAAGGTTTATAAAGGAGAATTGGATGATTCTACTCCGGTGGCGATCAAACGAGCCAACCCACAATCTGAACAAGGCCTAAGAGAATTCGAGACGGAGATTGAAATGCTCTCCAAGCTCAGGCACAGGCACCTTGTTTCGCTGATCGGGTTTTGTGAGGAGCGTAACGAGATGATCTTGGTCTATGAATACATGGCCAATGGAACCCTGAGAAGCCATCTATTTGGGAGTGACCTTCCCCCCCTCACATGGAAGCAAAGGCTAGAATGCTGCATAGGAGCAGCCCGAGGGCTCCATTATCTTCACACAGGGGCCGAAAGGGGAATAATTCATAGGGATGTGAAGACCACCAATATACTCTTAGACGAGAACTTCGTGGCGAAAATGTCAGACTTTGGGCTCTCTAAGGATGGCCCAGCTCTGGAGCACACCCATGTTAGCACAGCAGTGAAGGGTAGCTTTGGGTACCTCGACCCTGAATATTTCAGGCGCCAACAATTGACCGAGAAGTCCGATGTTTATTCTTTTGGGGTGGTTCTTTTTGAGGTCCTATGTGCCAGGCCCGTGATAAACCCTTGCTTGCCCAAAGAGGAGATCAATTTAGCAGAGTGGGCGGTGAAATGTCAACGTAGAGGTATGGTAGACCAAGTAGTGGACGCAAGGCTAGCTGGGAATTGCAGTCCAGATTCTGTTAAGAAATTCGGGGAGATTGCACAGAAATGCTTGGCTGATGAGGGCAAGAATAGACCAACTATGGGAGATGTTCTGTGGAACTTGGAGTATGTTTTGCAGTTACATGACGCTGCCTTGAGAGCACCTGAAAGTGTGACTGCGACTTCTCTTAGTCTTACTGGAGTTGGGGAGGTTGAAGAAGAGGAGAAAGAGGAGGTGGCTTGGATTCCTGAGTCTCAGAGAGAAGCCCATGGTCGTGAAGGGGACGACGTGGGTCATATTCTGACTGAGAGAGAAATCCATGGTGATGAGGCGGACAGTGTGGGCGAGGTATTGGTGGGGGAGAGTGAAGGCCATGGTCGTGAGATGGGTGATGTGGGTCAGATTCCAGGCATTGGGGGGCAACAGGAGAATTGGTCAGAAGATGCAGCTGGGGCTGTTGCGTTTTCCCAGCTGATTCGACCTCAAGGCAGGTGAATCTTCTCTCTGATTGCCATCTGGGATGAATCTCAACCTCTTTCACTGTCTACTGTTTGAGGGCCCGAGAAAGCCTTCTTTGCCAATAACGGATTATGGGATATTTGGCAGGTGGATTCTTCACTCTTGAATTGCCCTCTGAGATTCAATCTCTCTAATTTGAGGGACTGGGAAAGGTCTCCTTTGTTATGTGTGGATCATGGAATTTTGATGGTTCTTTGAATTTTGTTCATTATCCAGTGAGTTGCAGAGTACCAAGGCCATATGATACTTAAGATACATCTAGTATTCTTTCTGCCATTTACATGGAACCCAAGTATAAATTGCATTTATCAGATTTGCCTTGTTGTGCCTTATTTTGTTTATTTTATTATATTCTTTTGTTTGGTACTACCAAATTGGTTAGAGAGAGATCAATGAAAGATTTTGGTTCTCTTCTTTGATTGACTCCTGTTCAATTATCCGAAAATATTTATTTGTTTGGTACTACATTGGATGGAGAATAATGAAGGTATTTGATAATCTTTTGGTTCATGCCTAATTGTCTTGTTAAATTTATTTGTTTGGTAGAACCTGTGTTTGACTTTTAAGAGAACTTAACCAAGGTATTTGATTTGTCTTTGTTCCATGGAGATTTGAGCTTCATAACTGCATTTCCCTTTGTAAGTCTCTTTGTCTCTCTCTCTCTCTCTCTCTCTCTCTCACACACACACACACACACAAATACTGATAATTTGCATTTCTTTTACCTATCCAAACTCAATGGCTATCTAGTTGCACGGTTGATAACTATGTGATAAAGCTCTCTTTGTGTGTGTGTGAGAGAGATAATGTGCAAAAGTTTGCATACAGGAAAATCTTACAGTGCGCCACACCTTAGGTTGGACAGCCAAAATTTTTAATTCCTATCTACGGTCCAGATTCAAATGGTGGGTTCTTTCTTTGGAAAAATACAGAGTTAGTAGTAACTTAGACACTTGATTTTGGTAGTGTTTTACGTGTCGATTGTCATCCAAAGGCACATGTCGAGGTTGTCAAAACTCTTTACTTGAGAAGATTTATATTGTCTTGAATGTTTATTTAAAGTGTCAAAAATATTGAGTACATTAAGTATATACTCTATGCGTAGGAGTACCCTAATAAAACCCTATGAACTTTGTCTCGAAAAGAGTTTCGAATGTGTGTAAGATTTTTTTTGCAGTGAGAAAGAGGGAAAGAGAGATGATCTACTAGATTAGTAGGGATATCATAGCCTTTTCTCATAAAGGTTACAGATCCAAGAGAGTGTCTCCTCTTACATATAGGAGTGAGAAAGAGGCAAAGATAGATGATCTCCTAGGAGAGTAGGGATATCATAGTCTTTTTCGATAGAGGTTACAGATCCATGAGAGAGTCTCCTCTTACAGAACTTTATAGTATTTTCCATGAAGATTAACATTCTTGCTTCTTTTCCTTTTTTGAGTAGTTCAGTGGTAAGAACCGAACTTGAGATGCAGTACTGGTAACAACTCTGGCCCAAAGCCGAATTCCGGATTATCAATCTTGCCGATAATGCTTGGATGTACACACATTTGGATGAAATACAGAGAATAACAGTGAAGGTAAGAGTAGTAACTAGGAGTCTATATGCACATCATTCATGATGGCTTCATATGGTTAGCAACTAGCAACATTGATAAATCTTGATGAATGCATGTTTCTAGAGTTTGTTTTAAGGGCAAGCATATATATATATATATATATATGGGAAATGTTTATATACTTCCCCTACAGCATAGAAGTTCTATCCTCCCCCTACCATCCAACCGTCCAATTTTGATCAAGAGAGTCACTCACCGTTTGATCTTAGATCCGATGTCTCAAAGTATTTTATTTTTAGTTTCTTTTATTCAAATTGTATGAATATGAAATTTGGTACATGCCATCTTCTCATTGGGGCGCACCTATAAAAAATATTAAAAATAAATTTTCGATAAAATATAATGATCAATATATATATAAACTTTTCCCGTATATATATATATATAGAGAGAGAGTAATGATCTCGTGAGACCCTGCCAAACACACATGCATAGGACCCCCAATCAAGACCGTTTGATTAAAATCGAATCCCAAGGTGAGGTAGAGATTTTACCGACTGACCTATCACACAGGTCAAAGGTTAAGCGCCTCTCTCATCTTAAATCCCCACCCTTTCTTCTCTCACTCAAAATACTTTTGAACTCATTGCATCTCCTCTCTCTAACTAAAACCGGGTATGGCATCAATCCGTCCATTCTCTTCCCCAAGTCTAGACTCTCTTTCTCTATCTAAACTCATCAAGACGCTCCTTTCCCACCCAGCTTCTTACTTTCCCTTCCATCCCCCCAAAACCCACCCCTTTCTTCCCTCTCTCTTACCTAAATCTCAACCAGCATATCTTACTCTCACCCTCTTACGATCCCTTCTCTTCCGTAAAATACACAAGTTTCTCACTTATAAAGCCTAACCTCATCCCCCCCCTCCCTCTAACTTGAAAAAAGGGCAAACCTCAGCATCTCTCCTACCTACTCTACTCTCCCATCTCTCCCCTAACCTGCAAAAATTGGCACAGATCTAAATCAAAGATTTTGAGTTTTTTAGCAAACCTTGCAGGGCACTCAAAGAAGGAGAAATTTGAGATTCAGGGAAATCTCTGATTCGTGTGGCTAATCAAAAGACTAACAAATCTAATCTCCAATCGAAGCTTGCAACCTTGAAAATCATGTATGTCTTGGAAGATTAAGTGTTATCTCATTCCAATATTTCCATGTTTATTTAAGGTTTTTAGCTTCTTATAGCAGTACTCTGTTTCGTTGTATATGATTTATAGTTTAAAAAGAAAAATAAACCGAAATTTCGTGTGTTTTAGTACTTTATTCAATGATTTATGGTTATTTACAGTGATTTACATTAAAATAAATGAGAAAATCACGGTAATGTTTATTCTAAACTTTTAGGTTTATGGCTTTCTTAAGGTAGAAAAATTTCGCCAATTTGCAATAAATTCTAAAAAATAGGTTGTTTGAGTTGCAGTGATTCGCTTGAAAAATTACCAAAATTTTCAAAAGCAGGTTGAATTTTTTAGGGGTTGGTTTCTTGATCTTCCTCGTTGAGAATCCATTAGTCTTATAAAAAAAAAAAGAAGAAGCCATATTCCATAGGAGAAAGAAAATATGTAATTGTTTGGATCTTTGTATTATAAAATTATTTTTGTTTTCTTCTAGATATCTTTATAATTTCTGATGAATTTAAATGAATTTTTTGCCTACACTAATCACAATTTGGGTCCATTGTTATTATGAATTCCAATCATGCTAGAACTGAGTTTGCCCATTTGAAATTTTGGAGCCTAATTATTCCTTTGAGGCAAGCCAAAGGTATGGTACGCTGTTGATTCATGTAATTGCAGATGTTTACAAGGCAAGTCACATTAGATGAGATGGTGATCGTGGTTCACTCTTTGGCGGCCGAACATCTGCATGGAAAACAATTCTGAGAAAATTTCGGCGATGCAAAAGCGCATATTGCTATTTCCTCACATCCTTGCTTGTTATGAATCCAAGCGAGCGTACTGAGAAATTCAAGCAAAGCAAAAGCTCATATTTCCAATTCCTTGTAGTAATGGACTCACATCTTTGCTTGGAATGAACCCAAATGAACACAAGAAAAGGTAGCACTCTCATGGGCATCTCTTTGAATAGCATTTCAGCAAACCATGGTAGTCCATGAAACGACTTCTATTTCATGCATCTCGTCAAAGCATTGTGTTGCCAAATCCGAAGATCTCCTAGCTTCGAGCAATTGCAGCAACTCTGTTTGATGATGGGTTTGAAGATAGAAATCGGATTCAAAACCATTTTTAATAATTTAACATTGCGTCTGAAGCCCCACGAGATAAGCTCCAAGTACAGAGGGGAATGATGGGTTTGAAGATGGAAGTCGGATTATTGCCTCTGAAGCCCCCATGAGAGAAGCTCTAAGTATAGAAGAGAAGTGTAATTTTTGAGGAAGAAGCCTTTAGTGAGAAATTATTTGTATTGATTTATGGATGCATGGGGGTGTTATCAATGTATTTCATCATTGTATTCAAAGAAATACATTGGTGTTGTGAAACACTATAAATTTTTATACGTGAGTGCTCTTTGCTCATCTCATTCATACTCCATGTTGGTCTTGGCTTTTGATCATTCTATATTATGTGTACCTTTTTACGCAATTTAAACAAGCATTTCTTCATTTTTGTGCAGCATATCTTGTGATAATCTTTGAAGGAACTGATTCTTGTGTATGTTTATATTGCTTTTAAGTCGTGAAACATTGGATCCTAAATAAAAAGGTAAACTTTTTTTTTAGGTTATTTGCAGTTTGAAATGCTCCCTCTCTCTATCTCTCTCAAAACACAATAGCAAGCAATCAAAAAATGGTACTAAAAAAAAAAAAAAGACTAATAAACTTCAAGAAAAGTCTCAAGCTGATAATGGCAAAGAACAGAGAAAAAAAAGAAGAAGGAAAAAACAAAAAAAGACTTAAAAAATAGTAGAATCTGATAAAAATATTAAAAATTAATTTGAAAAATATAAATTGATCAAAATACCTTCAAAACTTTTCAGGGGTATTTAAGTTAATTTATATTTTTCGAATTATATTTTTTATATTTTTATTAAGTGTGCCTTGATGAGTAGAATGTACGCTTAAATTTTCAAGTGATTTGGATATGTGAAAAAAAATGAAATTAAAAACGAAATAAGATCACGACTGTCAGATAGGTCCATATTCAATTTGAGCCGTTGGCTGACATTGTAATAATAAGCCATTGGCTGACAT